TTCATCTAAGGAGAGAGAGGCATAGACGTCTTAACCCTATTTTCTTGACTCTAAAAATATTCTATACCACAAGCCAGTAACTATCTCTTCTTAATGCAGTGGTTATGCCGTTGCTCCTGTTCGTTAGTTTCGTTTCTTTTTTTAAATCCACTTGTAATTGATTTTTCAATTTAGTTCAGCGGCGATTTTCCACACGTTCAGTGTTCGGTGTTCTACTACAAAAAAAGAATTGTTTCGGATTGAAGTATCGCGCGCGACAATTGAAAAATATCGTCCGTCGGTAGGCAAGCGTGTCGGGCTGAATGGTGACAAAAGAAAAGAAAATAAACAAACAAAACGCGACAAAACGAAAAATAAATTCAAATTTATTTATTTAATAACAATTAGAAATTTTTGAATTATTATTTAGAACACTCAGTGCCGGGCTGTCGTTGCTGTTGTCAATATTGTACGTGTTGATGTTGTTGTGAAATTGTATATTGGGTTTGTTGGCATTCTGGCTTGATCGCCTCAAAGTTTTGCTGCTCTCCTCCCTATTATTTTGTGCATTGACTTGTTGTTCCTTTTTTGTGCTGACGATGGACTTGGGTTTTCCTTTTTTGGTTCGTTTTCGTTGAGCTATAGAATTTCGTTGAATATTATTGTGGTGGTTGCTGTTGTTGTTTATTTTTGATTTTTGTTCATTAAAATTAATGTTTGTGTTGTTGTTTTTATACAAAAAATGGATATTAAAAAAACTAAGTGATTTTTTTTATTGAAATGAAAGGAAAGCGAAAACAAATAATTATGATCCATATTTTGAATCGAAAATTATCGAATATGACACAGTGTTTAATTTATTTGATTATTTTGTTTTGTTTGTGAAATTAAATGAAGAAAAAAACACTAAAACAAAAATAAGCGGGACCACGGGACTAATTGAAAAAATTTAAAGTAGATTTAAAAAAATATATAGCTTTGAATTATTAAAAAAATATATATATATATTTTTTTTTTGATAGCTGCCATAAGGCGTTATTTATTAAAGATTTTTTAAAATATATTTTTTGGAATGAACCATAAGGCGTAGATTTTTTAAAAATTTCCCATAAGCCGAGCTGGGAAATATCGGCTGGTGAAATGATTACAACAGAGTCTTAGAACCAAACCTAAAAAGCGGAACAAATCAGATAACTATTTTAATATAAACAAGTGAAAAAGCCTTAATTTCGGCCGCGCCGAACATTGGATACCCTCAATCATAGATATACTGACAGGTACTTGAAATGAAAATATAGGGAACTTTCCAAACATTGGACCTATACCGACATTTCTACAAACCTAATTTTTTCTAATTTTTTATATCGCTATCCTCCGCAGATGAAATGATTGCAACAGAGTCTTAGAACCAAACCCAAAACGCAGAACAAATCGGATAACTATTTTAATATAAAAAAAGGGGTTATATGGGGACTACGCCAAAAAGGTGGCAAATTTCCCTACCAAAAATTAATAATTTTTGGTAGAGAGATTTGTTACCATATACGACTATAAAATACCATATAGCAGCGAATTTGGTTGAAAAACGCGATCAAGAACCACAAAAAAACCAAAATTGTGGGTACCCTTATATGGGGGCTACCCGAAAAAGTGGACCTATATTTATAATTTTTAGCAGAGATATTTGGTACCCAATAAGAAACCAATGTAACAAAATTCAGCGAATTCGGTTGAAAAACGCGCTTGAGAACCCCAAAATACCGAAAATTGGGGGGTACCCTTATATGGGAGCTACCCGAAAAAATCGATCTATATTCATAATTTTTTGTGGAGAGATTTGGAACCTATTAAGAACTAAAACTACTAAATTACAGCCAATTCGGTGGAAAAATACGACCAAAACCCCCAAATTACTGAAAATTGTGAGGTACCGTTATATGGGGGCTAACAGAAAAAGTGGACCTATATTTATAATTTTTAGCAGAGATATTTGGTACCCAATAAGAAACCAATGTAACAAATTTCATCGAATTCGATTGAAAAATGCCCTCAAGAACACCAAAATACCGAAAATTGGGGGGTACCCTTATATGGGAGCTATGCCTAAACGTGGACCGATATTTCCCATCTTCGAACATGAGCTGCGAACTTGACAAAAGACAACCCTATGCAAAATTTCAGCACCCTATCTCAATTCCTTCAGAAGATAGCGTGATTACAACAGACGGACGGACATGGGTAGATCGTTTTAGAATTTTACCCTGATCAAGAATATATATACTTTATAGGTTCGGAAATGAATATTTCGATGTGTTACAAACGGAATGACAAAATTAACATACCCTCCATACTATGGTGGAGGGTATAAAACGATTTCCATGCACGTCGGTCTTTTGCGCAGTTTTACCAATTTGAAAGACCATATTCGGCAATGTTGTCTTCCACTTGGTCTTTCCATCTAATCCGTGGCCTTCCCCTTCTGCATGAACCATCAGCTGGTTCGCTTTTATATGCCTTCTGGGCTGGGGCATCTTCATCCATTCTCACAACATGACCTAGCTAACGTAGTCCCTGCAGCTCAATACGTCTAAGAATGTCGATGTCCGAGAATAGCTGGTACAACTCATGGTTCATTCGACGGCGATATTCACCGTCAATGCAGATCGGTCCATAGATCTTTCGGAGAAATTTTCTCTCAAACACTCCAAGAGCGGCCTCATCTGCTTGCGCAAGCACCCATGCTTCAGATCCATATAACAGCACGGGTAGTATCATCGTCTTGTAGAGTGTGAGTTTGGTCTGGCGGGGCGTGGCTTTGCTTCTGAGTTGTTTGTTCAGACCATAGTAGCATCAGGTGGCCATCACTATCATTCTCCGAGTTACAAAACTGATGTCATTCGTTTTGTTTATGGCGGTACCAAGGTATATAAAATCTTTGACTACCTCGAAGCTGTAGTTCTCAAGTTCGACATTTGGTCCGAGTCTACTGGACGTCTTGCGCGTTGATGCCAGACTCACTTTGGCAGACTCCTTCTCAATTTATTCAAAGGTGGCTATTACCGCTCTCAGTGTTCGACCCATTATATCGATGTCATCGGCGTAGGCGAGTAACATGTGTTGTTTGGTGTTCAGAGTGCCATTTCTGTTTACTTTTGCCTCTCGTATCACCTTTTCCAGTAGGATATTAAAAAGGTCACACGACAAACTGTCACCCTGTCTGAATCTTCGTTCGGTACTAAAGGGCTCTTGTGCCAGTTAAAGTTATCCTGCATAGCCGTATTAAATTTGCAGGAATGCCAAACGCAGACATGGCATTATACACCTTCGAACGGATAGGGCTGTCGAATGCGGTTTTATAGTCGACGAATAGGTGGAATGTGTCGATGTGTTTTTCGTGTGTTTTTTTCCAGGATTTTGCTCAGAGTGAAAATCCATTTCTGTTCCCTTTTGCCTCTCGCATAACCTTTTCCAGCAGGGTGTTAAAAAAGTCAAACGACAAACTATCACTTTGTCTGAATCCTCGTTCGGTACTAAAGGGCTCTTGTGCCAGTTAAAGTTATCCTGCATAGCCGTATTAATTTCGCAGGAATGCCAAACGCAGACATGGCTTTACACGACACTGAACGGATAGGGCTGTCGAATGCGGCTTTATTGTCGTGGGTTTCGTGGGTTTTTTCCAGAATTTGGCGCAGAGTGAAAATCTGGTCAATGGTGGATTTGCCAGGTCTGAAGCCGCATTGGTATGGTCCAATAATGTCATTGACCATTGGCTTCAGTCGTTCACACAGCACACTGGATAACACCTTATATGCGATGGGAAGGGGACTTATTCCTCTATAGTTGGCACATATCGTCTTGTCTCCTTTTTTGTGTACGGGACACAGGATGCTGAGGTTCCAATCATTGGGCATGCATTCTTCTAGCCAAATTGTACTAATCAACTGGTGTATGCTCCTTATCAGCATCTGACTACCAGTCTTGAATAGTTCGGCTTGTAACCCATCGGCACCTGCTGCTTTATTATTCTTCAGCCGATTGATTGCTATTATTGGTTCTGGGGTACCCTCTTCAACGCTACTATTTGATACCAGAAGTTTTTCAAAATGCTACTTCCAGATCCTCAGCACGCTGTCCGTATCTGTCACCAGGTTTCCTTCTTCATTTCTACAGGAAGATGTGCCTGCACCAAAGCCTTTGATTTGGTGTATTACCCGTTGGTAGAATTTTCGGACTTCATTCTGACTCCTGTATATCTCGATTTGCTCAGGCTCACGTTTTTCTTGTTCTTTCTTCTTTTTTCTGAAAACACGTTTCTCCTCTATCCTTTTCTCCCGATAGTTCTCCATCGCATTACGTGTTGCTACTGCCCGCAGGGTTGCCCTACACGCTGCGTTTTTCATATCAGTAGCATTACGACACTCCTGATCGTACCACGTATTTCTTGATGGTGGTCTTTGGTATCCAGGACCATCAGGCGTATATAAAAATTTTTTTTTTTGCAAAGACCATCAAGTTTAGAAATTTGTAAATGACCTTGGAGCTTCAATATTTTAAAACATTTTTTTCTCAAGGGTCGATCAATACCCCACATAACATATGTTTTTATTGATGTTTACATTTCTCCATATTTTTTTTATTTACTTATTTTTATTTATTATTTTTATTTTCGTTTTCAGTTGGAATCCACATCATCAGATGGTCTACGCATTTTGAATATCAATAATGTTACCTTGGCCCACAGCGGTGAAGTTCAGTTGGTCGTAACACATCCCGGTAAACCGTATTCGAGTCAAAAGGCATATACCACTTTAGCGGTGATACCGAACAACAACAAAACACCCGCAGCAACAACAACGAAACAACACAACGACATCATTGTTGTTGACGAAAGGGCACAACAATTGTTTGCTCTTGAACCCCTTGATGATCAACAACAAGAGGAGCACCAACAACAGCAGCAAGACCAAGAGTGTGAGGTCTCCTCCAATGATCATCTTAATGATCATCCGCATCAACATCATCGTCAACTCCAACAGCCAGCTTGTATTTTAGAAGGTCCACAAGACTGCACCGCCCTAATTGGTGGCTGTGTCCGCTTGTCCGTGATCTATGAAGGATTGCCAAAACCACAAATTGTTTGGTATAAGGCGGTAAGTAAAAAATGACAACAACACCTTATGGAATTTTCAATTTCTATTTTTAAAATGTAATTATTATTTATTACTATTGTTGTTATTGTTGTGAGGTAATAAGTTTCCTATCTCGATATCTATCTTTGGTTAGGAACATCTGATTTTATGGCCATTGCCATTTTCTGTTTTCCTCCAGAGCTAGCCAATGACGTCAAAGTAAAAAACGCAGCTCATTAATATGTATCTGTTTTGTTGTTGTTGTAATTAGCCACATGTCATACCAGATACCGATACTGAAAGGTGGTTGTTTTAACCATTTTTGGCAAAGTTTTTTTTCCAGCGGATAAGTAAAACATCTTGATAGGGTATTTCATACTTGGCCATTGTTTTAGATTATTTATATCTTGGTCCAGGCCTACACACGGAATGTTAGCTGGTGTTAATCTGTGGTGTTAACCTATCTGTCTGCCTAATTTGCGATCTTTTGTATCTCCCCAAAAGATAATGGGTGTTATTGACAATAGAGGCGGAAAACAAACAAAAAAAATACCTTTGCAGTAACCGTGCCTGTGGGGTCATAAATCGTAACTTTTGTTTCAATTTTTTTTTCGTATTTGCAACAAACACTTGAGGTTTTTAAATAGTACATCACGATTTTGCAAATGAAGGTTAACTACGAAACAAAAAATAATTGAAGACATTTTTCACAGTCCATCAAAAGTAGATTTTGTAAAAAAATATTTTCTGAACGAACAAACTGGAGTTAATTGTTATAATATTATTTTTCAAATTACCACCAGTCGAAGATTTTTTAAAAATCTAACTAAGTCGTAGATTTTTAAAGAAATATTTTTCAAAGTTACCTGGTGGTAACTACTACTTTTCTAGAATCCCACGAGTTGTGAATATCTGGTCTATGGTGGATTTCCCAAGTCCAATAATGTTATTATTGAGAATTTCCAGGTCTTCTTATCTTAGAAAAGAAACACACAGATAAACTTCCGACGAGATTTTTTATTAATATTTACAGCAAGACAATTCAATAGAGACAAACATTCCAAATATTTATAACGACAAACAATACCGAAATATGTATAAGGCAAGGAATACTACGTTACAATAAATTATTTCAATATGCAGAGGCTACTATGTTACTCTTACAATTGTGTTGCATATTTTCAACATTCCTTCTCAACTCGATTTTACTTTCATAAACAAGGTCTATTTTTTCTTTATTATTACTTCAAATATATGTAGGCTTTTTCAGAAAACGTTGTAGACTTTGAATGTCGTTGTATTCCACCATAGGTCCCTTTGGAGGGAACTTCAATTCAGACATCTTTTGAATATACGCATCTTCTTTTGTTACCCCATTTGCATACTAAGTGCCAAGTATCGCCTTTCATTTCAGAATCATATTCTACCTTCATAGATGCCTGTTTCTCATTTTCTGATGTTTCAACACCACATATTCTTACTGCATTTTCTTCATTGTACAGCTTTCGTGGTCTTCCTTTGCCTCCATCACATACAATTCGAGATCTTCCTGGCCTTTTTCTTAAAGGCTCGATTTCACTATTATTGGCATGTTGAACATTTTCCGCTGGTTCACGTTGTCCCGGTGTACCTTCTAATTCATTTGCCTGAGTTTCTCCAGCTACCACATTTTCTTCTCGTTCTTGAGAATAATTTACTGGCTCACATTCGCTCGTTTCAACATCTTGATTTGACACTTCATTTCTCAATTCTTGATAATCTTGAGAATAGGGTTCCACACAGATCTTCCCTTTTGCACACGTTATCGGGTCACTCAGTTCCTTTGTATTATTTCTACGTACCGTTTTCTTCTTTATAATTTCCTTCAAGCAGCTAAAATTAACATGTTCATATCGATTATGCCATTTATTGCCTCCCCGTTAGCTCTTGAAGTATTATAACATTTATTTTGTGTTCTCCGTGTGCCGCGGTTATTATACACTTGCGCTGGTCATCCCAAATCTTTACTGAATTCATCTCAAAAATTATTCTTGAGCCATTTTCTGTTTCTTTAGACACCGATATAAAATTATGAGGTGTGGACGTAACGTGTAGGTCATTCTTGAAAGTTACGTTTATTTCTCCTATAAATACGTCTCCACGACCTAGAGCTTTCACATTTGTATTGTTCGGCAATATAACAACTTCGCACACTGCATAAATGACTGGTCGCTCCACTATCAATGCAACAATCATGTTTAATAATATTCTCCTTTTTGCTTTTGCTATTGGGTCCCATTAACCGTGTCATGAGGCAGGAACTTTTTTCCCCTTTCATAGGTTGCGTACACTTAGCTGCAAAATGTCCTGGCTGACCACAGTGTAGCATTTCTTGACAAATTTCTTCTTATCTGTGTTCTTGTACATTTTCTGTTTCCTAAACTGTTTTTCTCTCATTGCACTTGCTCACTCATCATTGGCAGCTCTTTCTGCTTCATCTTGTCTTGCCCCTTCTTCCAATAACTTCACCTTTAAGGCACTGAATGTAGGCAGCTTGATAGCAGAATTAAATCCAAAATCTCGCCCGGCAACTGAACTTCATCTTTATTCAGATTCTCACAAATTGTACTAAATTCATTTAGATGATCCACCATCTTCCCTCCGACTTACAGCTTCATTGATAGAAGTTTCTTGAACAACATTATCTTCCTTGCAGGCCCCTTCGACTGATGCGTCTTATTCAACCTCATCTACGCTTCGCCGATTTGCAATCCTTTATATGATGAATTTGCGCCTTCCGGTTTTATCTCTCTTCCACATCTTTGTGTACTGGACATATGATGCTAAGGTTCAAATCATGTGACAATAGGCAAATTGTACGAATCAGTTGATGCATACTTCTAATCAGCCTTTTGTCATCCGTACTTTAATAGTTCTGCTGGTAACCCAACGTCACCTGTTGCTTTATTATTCTTCAGCCGATTGAATGCTATTCTAATCACATATAGACTAGGTGGTCCAATGGTATTTTATTGATTCTGGAGAATTTTCATTGCCGCCACAACATTTTGCTTCCAGATTCTCTTCTAACTAAGTTGTACTTGGCGATAACTGATCAATATGCAAACTGTGCCTTTGGAATGTTTAGGTTAGGTTTTTGCTTGGCATAAAAAGATGACACCGCTTGACAATTGATTGGTTGATATTTATAACGGTTGATAGTTGTCGGAATTGTACTTTGATTCCAATAATTGCATGAGAAAAATTCGTATAATTTAATTATTTGTTACAATTCCATCGCTTGTACGCCTGTCGACTTCAAATGATGATCAGGCCCAGATTTGCTTTCACGTGGATGCCACAAGATTCCCTCATAACATAGCCATTACTGTCGCTGAATATGTCGATATGCTTTTATAGATATGGAGTTTAATTCGATGCCGATATTCCCCATCGACGCAGTTTAATTTATAGATCTTTCGATTTTTTTTCTCTTAAACACTCCAACAGCTTTCTCATCTGCTTGCGCAGGTATTGATGCTCCCAACTCGTATAACTGCCCGGATAGTATCAACGTCTTGTAGAGTGAGAGTTTGGTTCTGCGAGAGATGGACTTGTTTCTTCTCTTTCTTCTCTTGAGAGCATAGATCTTCCACAAAGCTTTCATACATCACCTTGATCCATTCGTTTCCTGGCATCTTCTTTTTTCATCATTCTTTCTTCGTTACATTTGAATCTTATGATCTAACTGAAAGTCGGTAATCAAGTATATGATTGCATTTTGACAAAGATGATGCGAATCTAAACAAATCTACTACAGCTCGGCCAACCTGACGGTTGTGACCGACTTGGTCACCTACTAATTATACTACTTACATTCTACTATATACAATATAATATAATTTAATATTGGTAAGGACAGCCCTAGGTGCCCCTAGCTGAGTCTTCAGATTTCCAAGGTCTTGTATTGCCGGCTTCAATTACTCCATCGTAAGGTATTTGTGTGATCTGGCAGTTTTCTATATCTGTTATCACTTTACTCAATTCATAAGAACGTCTTTATTTCGGCACTAACTTTTATTGGTCCATTTCGTATCACTACAAAGTCACCTGCTTTATATGTATTAACAACGCTCCCTTTTGCCTTAGACCGTTGCTCGCTATATGCCTGAGACCTCGCAATTGCAGTCTCTGCGTTGTCTCGTATGTCCTGAATACCCTCTAGTAATGCTGCCATCTACCGTTGCTAAAAACAATGCCTCCTTGAATTTGCATGTAGTGGTTGGTGTCCTTGCTTATGTATGGTTGTCATTTTTCATTGGGTGGCGGTATCTCCTGTCATTTCTATTTGGTATTATTCTCATGAGTTGATATTGGTACCGAGTTTGGTTATTCGAATGACAGGGAACTTCGGAATTTCCCCTATGGCTATTGCAAAATGTTCGCCAAGAATTGATTTGTCGGAGGCAATAACGAAGTCTATATCAGCCAGGGTCCTTGTTTTTGTCTAGATCATGGCTGCTACAATATTGCGATGATTTTTCCCCTTTTATTCCAGCACTAGGTGGTGGACCTGTCATCTGGCATTGCCTAGAAAAAACATCTTCATGAATTTGTATTGCAATGGTTGTAATCCTTGTTTATTCTGTGTTATTTTCCTCTAGGTGGCGCTATCTACTGTCATTTATATTTTGTTTTATGTTTATGTTGATTCCAAGTTGGTTTTTAGAATGCCAGGAGTATTTGGATGCATTTTGGACGCAGGGGGATAAAAGTCTTTTTTTACAAATATTTGAAAAATATATAAATGATTTTTTTCTTCCCATCGGTTTGTAGTCTGAAATCCCATCAACTGCCCTAACCAACCTCAACCTCCAAAATATAGCCTGTCATAGGTGGTGAGGCTGCCATCTACCGTTACCTAGACACAACGCCTCATTGAATGTTTGTGCAGTGGTTGATGTCCTAGCCTATTTTTGGTTTCAATGTCCCTAGAGGAACATTATCTCCTATCATTTCTATTTTTTGTTATCCTAATGTGCTGATGCCGAGGTTGGTTTTTAGAATATCAGGGGGCTTCGGAATGTTCCCTTTCGTCTAGTTATGGAAAATTTTAGCCAAAAGTAGATTTGCTGAGAAAATTTGTCTGTCCCAGGTGGCGGGACAGACAATATATCGCCATATATCGTTGCCTAGCACCAAAGCCTTCTTGAATTTGTGTGTGCAATGGTTGTAGTCCTAGCTCGTTTAGTATTGTCATTTTTCTCTGGGTGGAGCTATCTCCTCTCATCACTATTTAGTGATGCAATTGACTTAAAAGTAGGACGCTTTTACCCAGCGAGTTTAGCGTTTAGAAATATTAGAAAACTACAAATTATTGTTCTTACGTTGGGATTCAAACACAGGACTCATCGCGTTGTAGTCTGATACACTGCACTAAGCCACTCCAAATCCCCGAATTAACCGTTTGTAAATATTCCAAAAGACAAACTGCCATAGTTGGTGAGGCTGCCATCTATCGTTACCTGGAAACAACGCTTCATTGAATGTTTGTTTCCTTAGTGTTGCCATTTTCCTCTTGGAGGCACTATTTCTTGTCATTTCGATTTTGAGTTATCCTCAAGTGCTGAGGGCGAGATTGGTTATTACAATATCAGGTGGCTTCAATTGTCTTCCATTTAGTGGGAATACAATAATTTTTTAGGGATATTCGAAAACCTCTTTGAAAGACTTTTTCCCACAATTCCGAGGAATAACAGTTTTTAAATATTTTCCCAAGGTTTTTGGCCAGAATATCTAGACAAATGGGATATTTGCCAACAATAAAAAACACAAAAGATGAAACCCATCAATTAAAATGCAATTTTTAAAATTTAGGTCTAAAGAAACCGTTTAGAAAGCAATTAATATTCAGCGGAATCGGTTGGACTAGAATGCATGCTAGGCAAGTGGTGGTTTTGGCGTTAAATTTTATTGTTGTCAGCAACAAACAGCAATCAATTATTGTAAACGTTTTTTGTTGATGTGTCCTATAATGTATGCGTGTTCGGCTAGAGACTATTCAAACATATGTAAAGACAGGCATAGCCATAGGCCTCATCTCCGAACCTCCTCTCCCCGTGTTCCAAACTAGATAACAACAAATATATTCCATTATTATTAGTATTCACATTAGCCAGCCAGAATAACCATTGGATCTCAACATCGTGTCACGATCAGAGGTTGCGGTAAGGCAACGTAATAGCATTTCGATGATGTTGTTGCAAACCGCAAAACAATAACGACACACATTTTTTTCGAAGGAAACAAAAAACAACAACTCAAAACACACAATGTATTTTTTTTTAATTTTTTTCCAAACTAAAAATAATAAAAACAATTTGCTAAACCATAATTTATAAATAATTTAACCTAATTTGTCTATTTTTTATTTTTTCAGAGCCGCCGCATTATGGAAACATCAAATACAATTATCAACACCTCATCCCGCAAATCGATATTACAGATTTCCGATATCGACACCGATGACAGTGGCAAATATTCGGTAGAAGTTATGAATGAATTTGGTGCCGATATAGCCTCGGCCTCAGTGGCCGTTGAGGGACCACCTGAGCCGCCCAGTGGCAAGCCAAGTATTTCCCAAGGTCCGGATCGCGTGGCGATTGCATGGTGTGGTCCACCATATGATGGTGGTTGTATGATAACTGGATTTATGTAAGTGTATAGTGAAGGGTATTTGTCATATACAAATAAAAAAAATTCAACGATGTTTATAAAGTAGCGCCCAATAGGCGTAAAATTTTTAAATAACCAATTCCATGATCAAATTAAATTTCGACGGTTATCGAATGATCATCGAACATATTTTCAATATGACCAAACATTTCTTGTACAAAATCTTGTAAAGTGGCGCCCAACGGTAGGTAGAGCCATTATTAGAAGGAATTGGGGGTACGAATATAATTGAATATCCAAAAATTTTCTTACATTGAATTTTGTCAAGTACTGGCCCACAGAAGATAAATCTCTAATATTTCGGATAAAGTGGTGCCCAACGGTAGTCAGATCGATTATTAGTAAGGAATGATATATTTGAATATCCAAAAATGTTCTTACATTGAATTTTGTAATGGGCTGACCAATAGAAGATGAAGATCAGATAAGTAAAAGATTCAGAATGCTCTAATATTTCAGATAAAGTGGCGCCCAATGGTAGGCACAGACATAACTGATATCATCCATTATCAGTTGGTGGATATCGGATGATCATCGATATACAATTTTTCAATGTGACCACACGTTTCTTGTATAGAATTTTGTAAATTGGCGCCCAACTGTAGACAGAGCCATTATTAATAAGGAATGGGGGGGGTACGAATATAATTGAATATCCAAAAATTTTCTTACATTGAATTTTGTCAAGTACTTGCCCACAGAAGAGGAGGATCTGATAATAAAAGATTCTTAAATCTCTAATATTTCGGATAAAGTGGCGCCCAACGGTAGGCAGATCCATTATTAGTAAGGAATAATATATATGAATATCCAAAAAATTTCTTACATTGAATTTTGTAACGGGCTGACCAACAGAAGATGAAGATCAGATAAGTAAAAGATTCGGAATACTCTAATATTTCAGATAAAGTGGCGCCCAATGGTAGGCACAGACATAAATGATATCATCCGTTATCAATCGGTGGATATCGGGTGATCATCGAACAATTTTTCAATATGACCAAACGTTTCTTGTATAGAATCTTGTAAAGTGGCGCCCAACGGTAGGCAGATACATTATTGATAAGGAATTTGGGGGCTACGAATTCAATTGGGTATCTAAACATTTTCTTGCATTGAATTTTGTAATGGGGTCACCAACAGAAAATGCAGATCAGATAAGTAAAAGATTCTGAATGCTCTTAATACTAATTTTGGATAAAGTGGCGCCCAACGGTAGGCACAGACATAACTGATATCATCTGTTTTTAATACGAAAATAATTTCAAAATGAAAACATTAATTGCACAATATATGAAGATCGACTGGTTCGAACTGGTTTATGGGAATTTGGACTAGGGCTAAGCATTTTGGTTTTTACTCGAAAAACACCCTGAAATACTTTTTCAATTCCGACAAATTAATATTTCTGGTAAAGTGGTGGGCACAGACATTACTGATAAGAGATGAGCACGAAAATAATTTCAATATGAAAAGATTGCATTTTCTAATGCGGTAAGGTAGATGAAGATCAGCTAGGCCGAACTCAGTTTGGGAAATTAAGCTAGTACCTTGAACATACCTATCTAGGAACATAAGCTTATATCGAAAATGTTCTGTGAAGAAGTTATAATTTCAATATGAGAACTTTTCTCCGAATTTAAGTGGTACTTAGCGTTAGACGAAGATCGTATAAATAACGAAAATATCTTGAAAAGTGGCGCCCAACGATGGGCACAGACAATACTAATAACGGATAAGTATTAATTAAGGTAGGAAAAATCTCTGAAGTGGCGCTTATGGTTAGACGAAGATCGGATAAATAATGAATATATATTGAATGTCTAATATTTCTTGTAAAGTGGCGCCCAACGGTGGGCACAGGCAATACTGCATTTAAGTGGCGCTTAGTGGATAAATAACAAAAAATACCCTGAATGGTCTAATGTTTCTTGGAAAGTGGCGCCCAACGGTAGGCACAAGCATTACTGATAACGGATAAGTGTTAATTGAAATAGGAAAATTAGGCAAGGTGCTTAATCATTGTTTGGGGGCTATGTAGAAACTTGGCCTTATATTGAAAATGTTCTGTGTGGAAACCTTAATATTTAGTGTAATGTGGCGCCCAACGGTAGGTAAATACACCAGATTAGTACCACCACATTCAAAATACATATGATCGATCAGGACTTTTTATATGTGGGCAATTTGTTCTCGGAAGAAAACGAAGTACCAGGCTACAGACAAAGAGGTTTAAACTTTGGTCCAGATCGTTGAATATACTGAAAATGAAGCGTAAACTGGGACTGTATAAAAACATGGACTTGTGCTAAAAATGTTCTGTGACGAAGTTATTTACCCAAAAAGTTGGTAAAAGGTCCCTGAAATCACTTCGTAAGACAAAAATAAAGGTACCCATATTCTTCACTAGGACCATCGATCGATATTTATAGGTTTTTGCTAAGATTTACCTCAATAATCGAAGTTTTATTTGGGCTGTAGGGACTTGAACCATTTGGCTACCCAATGCTTTCTCAGCAAATTATTCCTCAGTTCCTGCTTATTAAACACAAGCTCCAAATGGCGCCCAACAGTAGCCAAACAATTATCATATCAGATAAGCAACTACAATTTTCCTCAAAACTAACAAAATGTGTTGTGGTATCGAATCATGAAATGTGGCGCCCAAATGGCGCCCAACAGTAATCCAATTTTTTTTCATAGCAGATGAGCAACTAAAATTTTTCTCCAAACTAGGCAAATGTGTTGTGGTATCCTATCGTGAAATGTGGCGCCCAACAGTTTTTATATTCTTGTTATGAAATTTTCTTTACTATACTGATAACAAATTCCCCCTAATTTTCATACAGCATTGAACGACAACAATTGGATCCAAATGCCCCGTCCCTTGAAGAACAAGAAAACGATGCCGATTGGCTGGAAATTGCCAGCGTTGTGGATTCATTGGCCTATACCGTGAAAAATTTAAAACCACTCTTTACCTATCGGTTTCGTGTAAGAGCGGAAAATATACATGGACGCAGTGAGCCAGGCTTACCCAGCGATCCAGTACATATTGCGGATGAAACTGAAGAAGATTCCACAGAAGGTAAGCTGCCCAAACTTCTCTTTTTCTGTTAACCCTTTACTAATAAGAAATTTATATTTTGTCTAGACTTCCAAAGGCCAATATCCATTAAATCTGGCGGTGATTTCAAGGATCGTTTTCAAATTCTCGAAGAATTGGGCAAGGGTCGTTTCGGTGTTGTCTACAAAGTCCAGGAGAAGGAGGATCCCAAACGTATTTTGGCTGCTAAAATGATTAAATGTATTAAATCGAAGGATCGTGTTAAAGTCCAGGAAGAGATTTCCATAATGAAATCATTGAAACATCCCAAACTGCTGCAATTGGCTGCATCGTTCGAGAGTCCGCGTGAAATTGTAATGGTCATGGAATAGTAAGTATTGGAGGCTTGAATTTGATTTTTAATTTATTTAATCGGAAATGGTATGAGACCTTGTAAGCGATCGCAAATCCCGATATACAGTGCCAGATTTCCTATAGAGGTATTTCTTCATATTCAGTTTGCATCAAGTGGTATCATTACTTCGGTTAGACTTCCTCAGGTCAATTTTGCCTTTGGAATGTTGTTACTTCTCTGCCAACTCCATGACATTTTTAAGGCAGCCAGCTCCCACATCGTCACACGAATCTACATCTTTGGCTAAATCACTACATAACTGTAAAATTAATGTCATTGTTTGTCTCTCTTCCTCACAGCATTACTGGCGGCGAATTATTCGAACGCGTGGTGGCCGATGATTTTACCCTCACCGAACGTGATTGCATATTGTTTGTGCGCCAGGTTTGCGAAGGAGTTGCCTATATGCACAGCCAATCGATTGTGCATTTAGATTTGAAACCCGAAAATATTATGTGTAAGACACGAACATGCCACCAGATTAAAATTATTGATTTCGGTTTGGCTCAGCGTCTGAATACCGGCTCGCCTGTGCGAGTTCTTTTCGGTACACCGGAATTTATATCACCTGAAATTATTAGCTATGAACCGATTGGTTTTCAATCGGATATGTGGAGTGTGGGTGTAATATGTTATGTGCTGTAAGTAGGACTTCGATGATACGATTTGAGAGAGATATATTTTAATTATTTGGATTTCAGTTTATCTGGCCTGTCACCATTTATGGGTGATACTGATGTCGAGACCTTTTCCAATATTACCCGTGCCGAATATGATTTCGATGATGAGGCCTTTGATTGTGTTTCCCAACTGGCCAAGGATTTCATATCGAATTTGCTGATACATCGCAAAGAAGATCGTTGGACAGCAGAGCAGTGCCTAGAATCGCCATGGTTGAAACAGGGTCATTATGATGAAAATCTGGGCAATAAGAAAATCTGCACCGATAAGCTTAAGAAGTTTATTATACGCCGCAAATGGCAAGTAAGTATTGGAGGAATTTTTTGTTACCAATTGCTAACCTACTCGGCATGAATTTGTTATTGTTGATGTTATTTTTGCCAGTTTTAATGGCTTAGTCATTTAAATTGTTAACATGTGTTTTGTTCCGCTATCTGTTTTGTTTTTTGTTTGCTTATGTTTTTCTTTTCGTTTGCTTTGGCTAATTTTTGTTCGCAATGGCTTAGAAAACTGGTAATGCTATCAGAGCTTTAGGCCGCATGGCTACCTTATCAGCTTCTAGACGCAATTCCGCTGTCTCAACCACCACGAGTGCAGCTGGTGGTAGCAGCCCCAACAGTCCACGACCTTCAATTTCGGGTATGTCATCCATGTTCAGCGCGAACCAAACACTTCAATCGGCTCCCATGGGATCACTGCACGAAGAAGATGATGATTTTAGTATTGAATTGCCCGCTGTTGTCCATCAAGACATACCGAGACGCAGTCCTAAGGTGGTGACCAAATCTCAGTGTAGTGAACGCAGTGATTCCGGTTACAGTGAATGTTCCAACTGCAGTGCCTCGGGTTCGCTGCAGTGTCAATGTGCCAATAACAAGGATAGTGTGGATCATGCCAATGCCAGTGATTTATTACAAGATCTCTCCATTTCCGTACCCCATGATTTGTTGAAATTGAAACTCGAAGAAATTGCCCATCAGGCGGATCACAATATTGAGGAGGTTAAACTGGAATTGGTGGTACCAACAATCAGCCAGAAACAAATTCCTCAACTCGATGCAAATCAGAATGAATTGAAGCCGTTGCTGGAAATACCCGAGAAAGATCCGCCACATACCATTACCGTCATCGAAGATGTTGAAGTACTTAACACCTCTCCCTCTGGTCCGATTATTATGCGTTCCGATTTTACCAATACCATACAAATGCGTAAAAAATCCCTTGAGAATAGTTTACTTAAAGAGAAGCCTAAAGTCACGAGTAAATCACCGCTCTATGAAAAATCCGGTAAGGTTAATATGTTGCGCAATAAATTCTCCTGTATGGAACAGCAAGTGAGTAGTGGCGCCCAACATCAAACGACAGCTGTTAAAAGTAAAGATTGCATGGATGTTTTAAAGCTAAAGCGTAAAGTTATAAATGAAGCTTGTCTTAAACAAAGTAATTTGTCTTTCTCTCCTCAATCTTTTTCACAAATTAATTAAATATTCTGTCATTCTTTTCTTAGCAAACTCAGCCAGCCATCCAACATCCTCAGCCTCCTCAACACACTCAACTTCATTGCCCAGCTCACCAATACCAGCACGCAAGACGACGTATCCGTTTACTACGTTCCGGCTAAGCGAACGTGTACGCGAGGTAACCGATCGTCTGGCCCAACAACAAACCGTCTGCACCGAGGCTAGACGAACACAAATCTTAAATCGAAATAAATAATGAAAAAAATAACACCCTGAAAGTATCGATAATAATGTATTTTTCTCATCGTCTTTTTTTACCAGTTTATAATCATGTTTTGTTTTTTATTTAAATAATCTTTACATTGTAGTTTTTTAAATTAAGTGCAAGTGCAAAAAAAAAACAATAATTAAAAATTATTTTAATAAGTATTTTTGTTGCAAAAAAAATTGGCATCGTTATAATTCTAGTTATTTTGTTTTTTTAATTTTATTTTAATATTTTATGATTATTCTTAATATTAAATATTTAAAAATATGTCGTGTTACACGCCCCCAAACATTTATCTCTTCCCCTATCCCCCACTTAAAAAAAAACATAAAACCATGTGAATGAAAATCATCATGAAAAATGAAACTCGAATATAATTTATGAAAATCTTATATACTAAATCAAAAAAAAATGTTCAATGTGTTTTATTTTTTGAAAAAAAAATAATTTAATAATATTCGTCTTAGAAATTAGAGTTGGAACGGAACGAACTAGTTCGCAGGAACGATGATACAAATAAAAACAATCGGTACTAGTTCCATTTATTTTGTTTAACTAGTTCTTTTTGCTTCAGTAGTAGTTCGATTATTTGGATATGTATTTCGCTTCATTTAGATATTCTTGTTCAATGAACCATGGAACTGAAGCAACTGATTGTCGGAATATTAATGATGGAAATCTGAGCACCTTGAAAAAAATTAAAAATTCCACGCCTACTGAGGTCCTTGAAAATAAAATTTTTAATAAAATCCACGCCTATTGAGGCCCTTGAAAACAAAATCTGAAAGAAATACATGCCTTTTGAAGCCCTTGAAAAATATTTTTTAAAAAATCCAAGGCATGAAAGGTCCTTAAAAAATAATTTTTAAAAAAAATACGCCTATTGAGCCACTTGAAAACAAAATGTTAAAAAAAATCAACGCCTATTGAGGCCCTTGCAAAATAAATTTAAAAAAATCCACTCCTATAAATATTTTTTCGGGGTAATTATCCTGTAATCAATATCGGTTCACATTAGTCATCATTGTTTTCTTTTAATTAAAGCTAGCATTCAAAAACTGCTAATTATTTAATACTAGCACGCAGATCCAAATTGTACTATATTTAGTAGGGGAGAGGGGGGCACCTTTGAACGTGGGGCACCTTTGAACAGCGCCCAAAAAATCTTGGTTTAATATTTTTCCGACCCGCAACCACAATTTGTAAACTATTTGGTACCATTTAATACTTTTGTTTCTATAATTAAGAATTTCCCTAACTGTTTGAATCCTACACTCCAACAGTAATTTTATTTCAAAAAATCTTGAGTCCTGCTCTATCCGTACCATTTAGTACACACAAGTACTATGCTTCCATATCTCATCCATCCAGCTCTCTCCGTTCATCTAAATCCAAAGTGTACCAAATCTAGTACCGTTTAGAACTTTTCGTACACATAAATACGAATTTCCAAAGATATCTCTATACCTCAATCTTCAACAGCAATATTAATTCCAAATTTCAGATTTTCAGCTCTATCCGTTCTCCCAAAATCCAAATTGTACTAAATTTAATACCATTTAGTACTTTTCGCACCAATAAGTAAGAATTTCCTAAACTACCTAAATCCTACACTCCAACAGCCATTTTAATTACCAATTTAAAGACACCTAAATCCAACTTGCACCAAATTTAGTACCATTTAGTACTTTTCGTACACATAAGTACGATTTTTTAAAGCTGCCTTTATCCTGTACTCCAATAGTAGTTCTAATTCAGATTTTCTGGCTTCCATCTCATTTAAACGCAAATAGTACTAAATTTAGTACCATTTTGTACTTTTTATATAAATATGTACTAATTTCATAAACCATTTCCATACATCAACACCACTTCCCAACCTTTATTCCATATAAAATTTCAAGATTCTTGCTATATATGTTCAATATATCTACAATTAGAACTAAATTTAGTAAAGTTTAGTACTTTTCGTACACTTTTAGGCCGAATTTCCAAATACCCTTTTGTACATCTTTCTAACATTCTATCAGTGACCCACAATCAGTGGGTCAGTCAGTCACTCACTCACTTAACACTAAGCTCTTTTATCCAATTTTATGTAATAATAAATATTTGAATTTTGTTTTTTAATAAATTTAAAATATTGACTCACCTTTTGCCTGCTTCAGGAACTGCAATTTTGCCATTTTTTGTTAATATTTTTGTTAAATTTTATTTTTATTTATTACCGATTTTTTTTTATTTTATTATAAATTATAATATTATTTTTTAACTCACTTTTTTGCTTTAGTTTCAATTTAACACAAAAACTCAACAGTTTACCTCATTTTCTTTCTTTACATTATTTACGTTTATCCTTTTCTTTTAATATTCATGACATTTCAACTCTTTCACGCACTCGCAAACTTCGGCATGCCTTTTAGGCGTGTTTTCTATGGCCGACCAAACAACATAACACACTAAACAAATTTTTTACTGACACACACACACAACCGACGGAAATCACAACGATTTTAAACATAGCCGACAACCATTTGCAATTTGTTGCATCCGTTTCTGTACGTTCTTGTTTCACACAAAACCCACAGAAATTTGCCAAATTTTCTTTTCATTTATTTACTCATAAATACACTGTATTCGATTCGAATTTTATTTAATTCAACATTGGCATTAACTGGTAAACACTTTTCAACAATTATAATAACATAATCTTTATTATAAACGCAATAATTTCACAACTAAATTTGCACAATTGGGAAAACAGCTTCTTTCAGCTGCAAAAACGATCGAGAATGACAATAAATTTTCAATTTACAGTTAGACGAGAGAGATGATGCCAGATGATGAAGTGTGTAGCAAAAGAGCATTGCCAGCTGACAGTTAGTTTATAAGGTGCTTTAGATTATGGGATTTCATAGATTGGTATTTATGAAACACTATGAGGTGGTTGATATAGCAATATTTAAGAAATTTAGAAAATAAAAATTATTCAAATAATATTAAGAGATAAACTAAACAATGTTTAATAAAATATAAATATGAAATATTATTTTGAAGGATTGGTATAAAAAAAGGTTTCCAACAAGAAGTTAAGTTTTCCATTACTTTTGAAATATGTTTACAAGAAACTAAGCCCATACAATATATGGAACGGATGGAATATTCGCAATGAAAAATTAAAGAATTTAAGAAATATCGAGATAAACTCAAAAGTGTTTAAGAAAATATAAATATAGAATTCAATTTGATATTAGCATGATAAAATAATAAAGGGGTTTCCAACAAGAAATGAGGTTTAGCATTAATTTCGACATATTTTTAGAAGAAACTACGACTATACAAAATATGGAATGATTCAGCAATGCATTAAAAATTCACTACAAAATTGAAAACATCTTTAGTCACAATTGACAAAACTAAAAGTCGCCGTAAAGACATTGAAGGATAGTAAACATTTTTTCTGTTTAGAACTGGAATTAAATTTATTCAAAACCATTTGATTTCCATCTAAAAATTTTTAATGCAATTTTTATCTTTGGAATCGAACTAATCAGAAGGTAACAAAGGGTACTTTTCAAGAAACTATGAGTAGTTGAATTGTTTTCACAATGTGTTCGATTATTTAAAAGAATACGTTTTCCAAAAACTATAACCATATATACAAAAATAGCATGCCATTTTTTATTTAGTAAAATACTTTGCAGTAAAATATTAGGTTGGGGAAAAAGAAATTTATTATTTTTTCTCGTAAAGTATCGATCAAAATAATTTCAGATTTATGCTCGTTGAAAGGGTGATATTTTCCAGTGCCGGTCGTCGAAAATTTCTATAAAATCGTAGAAATTACCGAAGTTGACAGGCATGTCAGCAGTCGTAACATCGCCCGGGAGTTAAAAATCGATGATAAAACTGTTTTAAACCATTTACAATTGACCAGAAACGGCCAGAATTGACCAAGACAGGAGAGGTGTCGTTTTCCACCAGAACGACACTAGGCCACACACATCTACAGTGACTCGTCAGAAACTTCGGGAGCTTGGTTGGGAAGTTTTAATGCATTCCGGACTTAGCACCGAACCATTTATCGTATTTTTCTTGCATTGCAAAATTTCTTTAATGATAAAAAAATTGGTATCTAGGGTTGATTGCCAAAATCGACTGCCAATTTTTTTTTTTTTTTTGCAAATAGAGAGCAGGATTTCTATGAGAGAGGCATTATGAAGTTACCTTAAAATGGCAATAAATCATATAACAAAACGGTGCATATTTGGCCCAAATCGAACATTCCGAAGCATGTTAAATAAAGTCTTACAGTTCATATAAAAATAATGGATTTCTTTTTCTCAAACCTAATATTATAGTGTGGTTTAAGAAAATCGAAATATAAGAAGTACTACTTTTGAGTTCCCATTGTATAGCAAATCTCCCTACCATTTTCGTTATGTTGAAGATCCAAGCCCATCTTGCGATTCGTTCCTCAAAAATAGCATTTTTGGATTTGGTTATGCAAAATTTCATAAAACATGATTCTCGAAGCGTACTGGTTGTGGTCCTTTACCTGGTGATTTATTTTTTCATCATTACCTGCATATCAAGGCAGTAAACATCCGACGATTTAACGACGATTCAAAAAATTACAGATTTCTTATATTGGAAAACTTATAGTATGTTTACATTGTACCGGGTTTAGTTAACCCACTGGGTTTCAATTGTCAATTCCATTGTCTATTTGTTAAGTAAATCCTCATATTTGTCAAATGAAACATCATAAAGTTTGTTAAACATGCAAAACAATCTAAAGTAAATGCCGTTTTAGTGCTCATGGACTGAAAATCGTCCATTTCATTTTTTTTTTTAATTTCATTTATTTTAAAATGTAATAAACTACTTAGAAAATTTAATTTATTTAAATTAATTATAATTTAGTTAACTTATCAAAGTTATTTTAAGTTTCAATTGCACCAGGACATTAATTTGATTATCATTTATCTCTCACTAAAAACTTTCAATTTATACTTTCTAAATCTATTTATTTTGACAAATATCACATTAATATTAATCATTAAAGGTCTACATCACCCATAGTCTACAGCACCCTTAATAATCAATTTCTAATGGCAATGCTGTCATACATGCACAACAATTGCATTGATACTCTGGCATCTCTGTTTTCGTCTAACTGTTAATTTGCAAACAAGGAAAATTCAGTGATCCTGCCATTGATTTGTGCAAAAGTAAAAAAAGTGATATCAATTAAAATAAACTTTATTAATTACATCATAAAATAAAGGACAAACAGGGAAAAATAACAAACAAATAACAACAAATTATATGCCAAAATCTGTGTGTTAATACAAAAGCGAAGAGCGAAAAAAAGAGAGAGTACCTGTTCCAGTGACAGTACATAGTGTCAACTGGGAACAAACCTAAACATGATTTGGTTAAAAAAAAAACTAAATATGAAATAAGGTCCAACAAAAACGACAATTCTTAAGATCCTGCGGACAATTCCAAGAAAAAAATACATCGCCCATATTCTATAATAAAAAACAAACCCGTAATTCAGAAGCAAATTGCAATTCCCAAAAAATAAAATTGAAATTGTGTGTGCCTCGCATACGAAATAAATTGAATTGAAAAAATTAAGTGAAAATGCTACGAAGTAATATTACTCAAATTGAAAAAACATCAAAATTTTCAATGGAAATACTTTTAAATATGTGTAGAGCCGATTTATTGCGGGAGAGCTTGGTAGAGAAAAGGCCGGAAGCGCTATGAAGTGTAGGACCTTTTAAAACAATGTATTTAAAAAGGTCCTATGTTGTCCTCGGAATGTTGTCGATGAACAGAACATCAGGTTTGCCGACGAAAAGAAGCTTGAACCTAGACAATAAAAAATCGTATTGTATCTTTTGAACAACATTAAATAATACATTTAAAACCGCCTGAAATGTGTGAATTCAACATCCTGTCAACATCGGTATCCCCGAAGAATATAAATCGTGAACTGAACATCTTCTTAAATTCCATATATTACTGCAAGTTATTAAAAATATGTAGAAATCCGATAATGAAAATTTGCAATTTAAGCCAGGTATGTCAATTTCATTTGTCTTTTAAAATCTACATTCGGTATCAAATATTTTGATAAAGCAAATGAGGTTTACAATGATGACCTTCATCCATTTGCATTTCAAAATTCAACACTTTTCTTCCTTTCTGGATTAAAAGATGAGTTTCATTCCAATACCATTTGTCAAGAATAATTACAGACACTTACATTTTTTATTAACAATTGTTTTATTTATTAAAAGCAAATGCTCAATTGTCAATGATGTTTAACGAACACATTGATTATACCCGGTGATTGACCCCCACAATTTATCAAGCACCCCGCTCTGGCAGAGTTGGTGCATTTTAAAAACTATTACTAAGCAGAAAAAATGCTAATGCTCCTCCTCTATTGCCACAACAACGACATCAAGGACAATGGTGGCATACCGGGTTCAGCGCCTTTCTTGAAACCTACAATAAAGCAGACAAATTTGGAAACATAAATTTTTCATTCATAAATGACTACATAACACAACAAAAACTTCAGTTTTTTCCATAGTTCGTCTTCTTTCACAAACTTACCCAAATACAAGACCATGGGTACAAAACCCCAATGGAAAGTGGTCTTGGCAATTTCATAGACAACCTCCAAACGTTCTTTAACACCTTCGGATAGAGCCATTTTTAGTTTTTAATTATAAATTTTGTGTTGAAGACAATTGGAAATGTGTGTATTGACACTTAATATTTTGTACAACAGCACATGAAAAACAGCTGTTTTCCTAAAGAGAGAGAGGGAGAGCCAGTGAAGTTGGCTGCAGTTAAGTGATAATTGAAGGTGTTGCCAGCTATGTGGCGTTAATATGATATTTACACGTTGAATATCATATAATAAAGGGAAATATGTTTTCAGTAGTAAGATTTGGAAATATTTGCAGATAAAAAAATTAAAAAAAAACCTCGCTTAAGATAGTTATTGAAAATAAATTATATAAAACAAATAATTTTTCAAAATCCTTGCTTAAGCTATGTTTTCAGAAATACGCTATTAAAAAAAATAATTGGATAATTTTTAAGATTAATTAAACATTATTTACAACTTTTATTCGGATTAATTTTAAAAAATATATTTTTCGAAAATCTTAGATTAAGATAATTACTAAAGAAAATATTTGAAAATCCAAATTAGAAATCTACGCCTCGAAAAAAAACTTAGAAATCTACGCCTCGAAAAAAAAAATATTAGAAATCCACGCCTCGAAAATAAAATATTAGAAATCCACGCCTCGAAAAAAAATATTAGAAATCCACGCCTCGAAAAAAAAATTAGAAATCCACGACTCGAAAAAAATATTTTTTGAAAATCCACGCCTCGAAAAAAATATTTTTTGAAAATCCACGCCTCGAAAAAATCTGTTTTTTGAAAATCCACGCCTCGATTTTTTTTAAATCCACGCCCGAAAAAAATATTTTTTTAAAAATCCACGCCTCGAAAAGAATATTTTTTAAAATCCACGCCTCGAAAGAAAATGTTTTTGAAAATCCAGGCATCGAAAAAAATATTTTTTATAAATCGGCGCCTCGAAAAAAAAATATTTTTAAAAAATCCGCTCCTCGAAAAAAAAAATATTTTTTTTTTAAATCCACGCTTATTTTGATTTTTGAAATAAAAATTACTTTTTGGTTAAATCAAAAAATATTTTTTAGTCTACGTCCATGTTGGTCTTCAAAAAAAATATTTTTATTTAAATTTTGTATATTAAATTTCTGCAGACCACCTCATCTGCTATTTATCTTCTGTCTTAAAAAAGTTATAAAAACTTTCGTATTTAATTATTTTTATTTTTAATGAATAATTTTTCTTCATTGTATGTTTTTATTATTATTTATTCATTATTTTTATTTTGAATTATTACTTTAAATTTTAAAATTATTTGAACTAAACAAGAAAAAAAATTACAAAGACGACAAAAAATTTTCGTATTTTTTGCGCGCCTCTTTGGCTTGGCTCCCAAACCTGTTCTCCTTATCATCATCAACATCATCGTATATACGTATGTTTGCATGTGTGGGTTACGTACTTTAGTATATGTCTCCTGTCTGTGTGTTTGTGTTGTTGTTGTTGCTGGTGTGATTGTTTGTTTACTTTTTATCGACTGGTCTCAATAATTATCTCGTGGGTATCCAATTGGGATACACTGAATTTCAATGGAGCATATGTTCCCAAGCTGGCGCCAGTCTCAATCGGCAACATATGATCATCGACATGTTCCTGCGTTTCTTCCACAATCACCTCATGTATCTGTTCTGGGGTATACTTTTGTTCCAAGGCCGTTTGGGCATTATCATTGCACTCGCCTTCGTGCATTTCGAAATCGGTGAAATTATTGAAGACCGAACGACAGACGGCACACTCAAAACCCCTAAGAAACCCGAAATGGGAGAGTAAAAGAAGTTATTTCAAATAATTCAGTAAAAATTGAATACTACATACACTGGCTGTTCATCAGCTAATTCTAGATTTTGTTTGGCTATGGCCTGGGCCTCCTCAATGGTGGCCTTCATATCTATCTCCAGACCCTCCTTGACATGTGAATGCAAATGTTTCTTGAAATTTCCCAGCTGTATGAACGACTTCTCACAAATCCGACACGAATAGGGTTTCGTATTCAAGTGGCCCATGATGTGTTTCTTAAGGTTGACACGCTGCGAGAAGTAGCGGCCGCAACGTTTGCAACGGAATGGTTTCTCACCCGTATGGGTCAGCTGATGGCGCTGCATATTGGATTGCTGGGTAAATGATTTTGTACAAAATGAACACTGATATGGTCGTTCGCCATTATGCACGGAATAGTGGCGATTTAAATTCACAGACTGGGCAAAGGCCTTCCCACAGATGCGGCAGACGAAGGGGCGCACATCGTTGTGCACCTTCATGTGTCGCTCCAAATTGCCGCTGTTGCAGAAATACTTCTGGCACATTTTGCATTCGTACGAAGACTTGGTTTGTGAATGGACTTCTTTTTTGTGTAGAAGTTGATCCCGCTTGCAGGGGAATATCTGAAAAGCACCCAAGAAGAAAACAGACAATTAATTAGCCATAACATAGGGGGATTATATTTTGGACACTGTACCCACCTTGTTGCATCTTTTACATGTGTACAGGGACACAACGCCATTCATTGGCACCGTCTCCTCATATTCCTCGGTTGTTGCCATTATCGTAGTCGCCGTCGCCCTCTCCCTAAAGTTGTATAAGCAAAACAATGTCCATATGAGAGAGCGATGGAAGAAATGTCACTTCCAGTGTCCCAAAAATGGATGCACTGCTATTTGTTGTTATGGTCAATTGTAAAGAAATACCTGTGCTCTGCTGTGGATCGGTGGCTCCAAAATATGTGGGGTCTCTATTCTTTTTCCGTGGGACCAAAAGGAAAACAGCAAAAATTCGTCGTCTTTCTCGCACAAGGGTTGATGGATAGGAATAAAAGTCAGTCATATGGTTGACAACAAAATATGGTATTCAATGGCATTGCCAGATGCGAATGTTGTATCAACAACTTGTTGTGATTAGTGGCGAATGTGCAAGTGGTGGTGTGCAACGTAACGTAGACGTAACGTAATGTAAGCAAATGTTGGGAATTGGGAGTTTTGTGAAGAAATAAATTAAAATTGTAACAAATCTATGGAAAAATAAATGAAAAAGGTTTGGATTTTTAATAAAATACTTTTTCGAAGACTACCAAAGACGTGTCGTTTTAAATAATACTTTTTAAGAGCCATTCTCCAAGCGCGAATTTTGTTTAAAATAAAAAAATTGCAAGTGTGGATTTTTTACCCTTAAAAAATATTTTTAAAACATCCACGCCTATTTGGAGCCTCAAAAAAATATTATTAAAAAATGCACGCCTATGATGGACCTTGAAAAACGATTTTTTTAAATCCACACCAATGTTAGCCCTTGAAAAAATATTGTTATAAAAACACGACTATGAAGCTCCTTGAAAATCCTTGTAATTTTTTTTAAGTCCAAAGCCTTTTTGAAAATATTTCTTTTAAATCCAGACTCATATTGAAAAACACCCCTTTTCCTTTTCTTAAAAAAATAACAGTTTTTTTTATTCGTTCTTAAAAATTATTCTTAAAAAACTAATTTAGTTTTGAAAACATTTTCTCCGTTTGACGTTTCCTCCACAGAAACATTCCCAAAAAGTATAATCCCGCTAGGCAGGGCAAAATAAGTATCAGCAGTAAGAAATTATATAAAATTAAATCGCTTAAATGCAGCTCATCCAAAGGCATTCCGATGCCCTGGGTCTTCAGCGGCAGACTGCCATAACGCAGAATATAATCCAACCAAAATAGGGCACTCGCCAGACCACCCAATGGCCGATCACGATATATTTTCGATATATCTCTGATATTCAACACATAGAATTCCTTATTGGCCATTGTGTCCAAAGCCCAATTCAGGGAGACCTCCGAAAAATTGCCATAATCAATTCGTAAACCGAATTGTAACTTCACCGCGGTCTGGACATTTTCCAATTCATTGTCGAACAGTGGAATACCCACAATCGGAACATGGCGAATAATGGCCTCCTGCAGAGCCATTAAATCACCATTCATTATGAACAGTTTAATATGGGGATGGGCCAAAATATCTGTCTGTGGCACCAAGTGATTCAACATTACATTCTTCGGAAGGCCTTCAAGCTTCTGTAGGTCATGACAAGTCCATAGGAAACGTTCCTCTCGTTTACTAAAGACGTGCATTAGGACTTCAAGCCTTTCCTTGGGAATTTCTTTGCAAAGCTGTTCGTCTCCTAAATTTATGTAGACTACCCCAGAACGAGCTTCGTCCAAGAAACGTCTGATATGCCAGGGTAATTCTCGTGGTGCACGAATTTGTAATCCTCCAACAGGTATTATGTTTGGTATCAAAGGTTTGGGTATTGCCAAGGGGTAGTAGTCGTTAACCAACAGCAGGGCCAGATTGGCTTGAAGTTCAACGATAGAGGGTACGGGACCTAGAGGGGAGAAGAGAGGGATGCATGTTACAATTGATTTGATTTGGTGTAAAAAAATTGAATTGTTCCCGAAATGGCGCCCAACATATGGAAATCATTGAAACAAAATTTAAAAAAATCCAAAAATATTTTAAAAAAATTCTACGTTTATAGAAACACTTGAAAAAATATTTTAAAAAAATCCACGACTTGAAAAAATATTTTAAAAAAATCCACGACTTGAAAAAATATTTTTTTTAAAAAAATCCACGCCTTGAAAAAATATTTTTAAAAAAATCTACGGCTTGAAAAAATATTTTAAAAAAATCCACGACTTGAAAAAATTTTTTTTTTTAAAAAAATCCACGCCTTGAAAAAATATTTTTAAAAAAATCTACGGCTTGAAAAAATATTTTTTTTAAAAAATCCACGCCTTAAAAAATGTATTTAAAAAAATGCACGACTTGAAAAAATATTTTTAAAAAAACGCCGACATGAAAAAATATTTTTAAAAAATCCACGCCTTAAGAAATATTTAAAAAAAAAATCCACAACTTGAAAAAATATTTAAAAAAAATCCACGCCTTGAATTTTTTTAAATCCAAATATTTTTAAACAATCTACGCCTCGGGTAGGCCTTGAAAAAAAAAAATTTTCATGTATAAGATTTTTTTAAATATTCCTCTCATTTATACAACAAGACTGAGTGGCGCCCAACGATTTTAGATTATATTCCCATTTTCTCCTCCATACCTTGAATTTTAGGCAAATATTTCTGCATAATCTTCTCCTGTCTGGCATAATGTTCCGAAATGAATGCCTCTCGCTGCCGCTTGCACTGCTTAATATTCGTCAATCTTTGCCAAAATCCAATACTGGTATCATAATTTTCCAAATCATAGGGTAAACATGCCGCCGGTACCATTATCTCCTGAACCCGTTCCATATAATTTGCAAAATCTGTACTAACAATACCGACTACAGGTGTTCGGAAGTAATAACCCAATGCCAACAAAGCTTCCGTATAGAATAAATCCACAATTATCAAATCATAATCGAAATGTTCGGGAGGCATATCTAGAATATCCTTTACTTGATAATTGGATAGGAAATAATCCATTAGTAAGTGGCCAGCTTGGGCTAAATATTTATTAAGCTTCTCCTCGCCGAATTTGCTGAGTTCTTGCAGATCTTTGGCACCGGATTGTTTTTGAACTGCAAAATAGAAATTTAATAATATTTCGTAAAAAAATGTTTGTGCTTTTCTGCATACCCTCCTGCCAAAATGGAAATTCCGGTTCGACCACAATTTCCCTTAGATTGTCCAGGCGATCATCCAATCGATGACTGGTAAAAATTGTGACATTGTGTTCCCGTCTAGCCAATTCCATCATAAATGTCCTCATTACCACAAAATGACTTTCACTGGCATGTGGAAAGATGCCTAAGATTTTGGCTGCATCTGCCGGATTTTGTCCAGTCACAATGGTCAGGATAATGAATATTTTTAGCCATTTTATAAAATGACTAAAGACCTGAAAATATACGAAATAAATATCATGGTTAGGCCTTCTTTAAAAAATCCACGCCTTGGTAAGGCCTGGATAGACCTCGAAAAAATATTCTTTAAAAAATCCACGCCTTGGTTAGGCCTGGATAGACCCCGAAAAAATATTCTTTAAAAAATCCACGCCTTGGTTAGGCCTGGATAGACCCCGAAAAAATATTCTTTAAAAAATCCACGCCTTGGTAAGGCCTGGATAGACCTCGAAAAAATATTCTTTAAAAAATCCACGCCTTGGTTAGGCCTGGATAGACCCCGAAAAAATATTCTTTAAAAAATCCACGCCTTGGTAAGGCCTGGATAGACCTCGAAAAAATATTCTTTAAAAAATCCACGCCTTGGTAAGGCCTGGATAGACCTCGAAAAAATATTCTTTAAAAAATCCACGCCTTGGTTAGGCTTGGATAGACCTCGAAAAATATTCTTTAAAAAAATCCACGCCTTGGTTAGGCCTGGATAGACCTCGAAAAAATATTCTTTAAAAAATCCACGCCTTGTATAGACCTCGAAAAAATATTCTTTAAAAAATCCACGCCTTGGTTAGGCTTGTCTATCCAAGCGAAAAATATTCTTTAAAAAAATCCAAGCCTTGGTTAGGCCTGGATAGACCTCGAAAAAATGTTCTTTAAAAAATCCACGCCTTGGTTAGGCCTGGATAGACCTCGAAAAAATATTCTTTAAAAAATCCACGCCTTGTATAGACCTCGAAAAAATATTCTTTAAAAAATCCACGCCTTGTATAGACCTCGAAAAAATATTCTTTAAAAAATCCACGCCTTGTATAGACCTCGAAAAAATATTCTTTAAAAAATCCACGCCTTGTATAGACCTCGAAAAAATATTCTTTAAAAAATCCACGCCTTGTATAGACCTCGAAAAAAATATTCTTTAAAAAATCCACGCCTTCAGTGGCCCCTTAAATTTGTTTGCGCACCTCCTCCTACCACTATTAAAATCTGTCATTGAAATTATTTTTTTTTTTTACATTCCAAGGCCTCTGAAGGTTGTTGCGCTTCCCAACTCTTCCGAAGGTCATTCTCGAATTGTTGTTGTTGTCATTAATTTTTAATCAATTACAAATCAATACGTGGGAAATAACATTGAAACTAATTTACGATGCTGCGGCTGGCGCCTTGACCCAAAATGTCACCGGAACATAAACAAAAAGCCCGAAACCAAGGCATGATTGGGACACATCATGTTGTGTTGTGCTGAGTTTTTTTTTCTTCTGACGATTCGAAATAATCTCTGTCGAATGCTGGCCTGGCCTCTGGGTTAGTTAGTTTAGTCCGGCCTTAGTCTTATCTCGGAAGAAAATTTGAACCACCACTACTGTGGCCATGATTTGTGTCAACATTTCGTGTTGGTATTGTTGTTGTAATTTTTTTCAAATTAATTGTAATTGTTGTTTTATTTGGAATATTTTATTTTTAATTATTTGGAAATTTCAAGAAACTAACCAATTTGGAGTCACGTTGTTGCATGTTGTTGCGGATGTCTTCGGTGGGGGGACCAGATGTAGTTTATCTTTTGGATTAATTGCAGAACAATTTTTTTGTGAATGTTTTTGTTGTTGTTGTTTTTTGATGTGCTACTTGTTGCACGTTACTGCAGTTTTGCTCTCAGATTTTTATGTTTATTAGTTCGGAACACTTCGCTGAACACGATCAGTTTTGGTTTATACAAATTGTGATCTCTCAACAATTTTTTGAATAATTATTCGTTCCACTTAATATTTTGTATGATCTAATATTTCCTCTGTTTGCTCTTCTTTTTTTCAAAATTTTATTTCAAAATTGTTATCATAATTTATTTTTTTGTTTATTCCAATTTCCACTTGTTGTTACACTTTTGAATTCGCATTCTATACTGATTTCATTCAGAACATTTCCATTGTTCTGGAGTCCATCCCGGGCAGCTGCGGTTGTTGTTTGACGAGCGAGTGAATAGTCACTCGCACAAAAAAATAATAAAAAACAAATTCTCAATTCTCGTCTCCCCCATATCAAATTCTGCTGTGGCTGCCAGACTCAAGTTCTGTGTTTATAGAATAGTTCTGCTTTTTGTGTGTTTTCTTGGGGCTTCAAGAGGAATAGTGTTTGATGGCAATGAGGGGATAGGGAGCGATTGGAGGAGGTGGTGGGGATATGTCTTCAGCGGCGGGATATTGTGCAAGTATCTTGCGGTTTGTGGGAAGAAGCACAAAAGCCGGAACATGATGGTGAGCATGGAATCGTTTGTTTTGTAGAATTTCATGTACTCATACTCACACACACACATACACATTTGTGGATTAATTGCAAAATTGTTGTAATGTTTTTGTTTTTAAATATGCTGAGTAGGAAAAATGCAAAATGAAAACTTTTGTATATGAGGAAGATCCTCTTACAGATATTTTTTAATGAGGAAAATGAGACGTAAAATTTAGACTTTACTTTTATAAGGGGGGATTTTTTTAAAGAATATTTTTCCAGGCCTAACCAAGGCGTGGATTTTTTAAAGAATATTTTATCCAGGCCTATCCAAGGCGTGGATTTTTTAAAGAATATTTTATCCAGGCCTATCCAAGGCGTGGATTTTTTAAAGAATATTTTATCCAGGCCTATCCAAGGCGTGGATTTTTTAAAGAATATTTTATCCAGGCCTATCCAAGGCGTGGATTTTTTAAAGAATATTTTATCCAGGCCTATCCAAGGCGTGGATTTTTTAAAGAATATTTTATCCAGGCCTATCCAAGGCGTGGATTTTTTAAAGAATATTTTATCCAGGCCTATCCAAGTCGTGGATTTTTTAAAGAATATTTTATCCAGGATATTCTTTTTTAAAGAAGGCCTAACCAAGGCGTGGATTTTTTAAAGGCCTAACCAAGACGTGGATTTTTTAAAGGCCTAACCAAGACGTGGATTTTTTAAAGGCCTAACCAATGCGTGGATTTTTAAAGGAATTGTAGCAATATTTCTTGCGATAGTTCTGCAGGTATTATTCTTCTGTGGAAGAGCTGGAGGTCTTCTTCTTTCTATGGAAGAGCTGCTGGTATTTTTCTTCCTATGGAAGACCTGGAGGAATTCTTCTTCCTATAGGAGAGCTGCATGTAATTTTCTTCCTATTGTTAAGCTGGAGGTATTCCTGTAGAGGAGCTGCATCTATTCTTCTTCCTAAGGAAGACCTGGAGGTATTCTTCGTCCTATAGGATAGCTGCTTGTGTCTTCCTATAGGAAAGCTGGAGGTAATATTCTTCCTGTGGAAGAGCTGCAGGAGTTCCTTTTCCTGTGGAAGAACTGCAGCAGTCTTCTTCCTGTGGAAAAACTTCATGTATTTTTCTTCCTGTGGACGAGCTGCAGGTTTTATTCTTCCTATAGGAGAGCTGCATGTAATTTTCTTCCTATAGGAAAGCTGGAGGTAATTTATTGTTATGGGAGAGCTGGAGGTTATCTTCTTCCTAGAGGAAAACTGTAGGCATTCTTCTTCATGTGCAAGTGCTGCAGGTATTCTTTTTTCTGTGGAAGGCCTACAAAAGTGGATTTTTTAAAGGATATTTTTGTTCAACGTCGACAAAAACCGAAAAAATATTTCCTGGCGTGGATTTTTTAAAGAACATTTTTTCAAGGCACAGAAGGCGTGGATTTCTTAAATAATAATTTTTTTCCAACGTCGACATAGAAAATATTTTTTAAAAAATTCACTCCTTGGATGGATTGTTAAAAATTATTTTCATTTCAATAGTCACGTAATCAATCATTACAAATAGCTACCATGATATTTTTTAATCCACTTAAAATTCAAATGCCAATTGGGCTCAACCCCCTTTCTAATAAAAGAGTAGTGACCATTGTTACTTTCTGCTCTTATCGATGACTTTCAATCATGATTTTGTGTTTTTTGGTAATAAACCCATCATCTTTACTTTCCCTAATGCCAAAGGCTAATTGTGAACATCCCAAGTCATTTGCCATAGCAGTAAAAATCGTGATGAACTTTTTTGTCTATGGTGGTAATTATGATGTGGCCACAAAATGTTAATTGAATTTGTGAAATATATGTAGCATATTTTTAGGCGCTAAAATAGTAAATAACACTAATTTACAAATTATGGATTGTGAGAGAATCTAAATTGCCAAGGGATCTTCATCAAAAATATATGTGGAATAAGATAATCTAAATCTAATTTAGATTGCATTCATTGTACTAAAGCTTAGAAGTACATTTATAATTGCATTCTTCGGTGTTTATATACCCAAATTGTTGTTTATTTTGGGTATTACTATTACTTATAATGGATTTTTGATTTTGCTGACTCTACTGTAATTTGATGTAGTCCATTTGTCCATGAAATGTAAATTTTTGCAAAAACAAATTCTCATACAGACAACGTATACATTTTCGAAAAATACAAAATAAATGTGAAAAAGCCGTAGGTGCTAGCAGTCTAGCTCCACATTACCAGCACATCTTCAACTAGGAACAAGGGTCTTCTAATTGTTTTCAAATAAATTTCCAATAATGATTTATTTCAATATTGATGTTCTTATAAGAGTTCGAATCAATCAAAAGTGAAAGGTTAAACTTTCATCTACAAAACGTTTTTGTGGAAAATTCTGGATAGATGGTATCCCACTTCACTACAACTTTCAATTTAATTATAGTCCATACAAAAACAACAACCACTCAATATTGTCTTAACCTACGTCTCTTTTGACTCCATTTATTTCATTTTTTTGTTTACCAATCTGTGCCAATATGAAATTCTCATCACGATCGATTAGCAGCCAGCAGTTCTATTTCGGAAAAAATCGCTAAACAGTTAAGCAAGCAGGCAAACAAGCGACAACTAGCCACCAACATTCGAATTGTTTGAGCAAAGATGACAAAGTAAACAAAAAAAGCCAAGCCAGAAGTTAATCGGACATGCTAATAACCCGTTGGTAGCGGTTTTGAGATCAAAAAAAAAAAAAAAGATAAAGATGTGGGTTCGTTCGTTCTCTGTTTGGTCGGCTTTGGTCTTGTAATATAAGTTCAATTAAAGGTCATAATGTTCGCAAAGTTATGGGATTTGCTAAATGCAAAAAAAAAAAAAAAATTAATCAAAAGCTCTGATCTTCGAGAACTTTTTAACAACTATTTTTACAAGACATGCAAAAGGCGTAAATTAAAAAAATATATATATTTTTCATGGCTTTCCAAAGGCTTGGATTTAAAAAAATATATATAACTACATACATATTTGTCAATCTCTACAAAATGCGTAGATTTTTAAAGAATATTTTTAATTTTTTCATTATTTTTACAAGAGTATTAAAGTTGCAATTTAAAAAAAAAATAAGGATTTTTTAAAAAATATTTTTCGAGGTCCTCCAAAGGCGTAGATGCCCTAAAGAATGTTATTAAAGCCTATTAAGGGTTTAGATTTCCTGATATACATATATTTTTACAAAGCCTACTAAAGGTGCAGAATTTAAAAATGAAAATATTTTTTCAAAGATTTTTTAAAAAATATTTTCCAGGGCATACCAAAGGCTTAAATTTTCTAAAGAATATTTTTGATTTCTTAAAAAAAATATTTCATCAAGGCCTATCAAAGGCTTAGATTTCTTCAAAAAAAAAAAATTCTTTCAAAGCCTATCAAAGGTGCAGAGTTTCTTAAAAAAATATTTTTTTCATGGATTTTTTTAAAAATATTTTTCAAGGGCCTCCAAAGTCGAATATTTTTCTTAAAAAGTATTTTTTCAAAGGTAAAGACTTTTTAACAATATTTTCATGGCGTGGATTTTTAAAATTTTTTTAAGATTTTTTAAAGAATATTTTTTCAAGGCTTAGATGACATATGTTTTCAATGTCTTGATAAGGTATTTTGTACAAGAGACAAGTTGGATTTTTCTTTGTTTCGTAAATAAATACTTCAAAAATTGGATTTTTTGGTTTATAGTTTTTGTATTTTATTTTTATTTAGATTCACAAAAGATCAATTTTTATTTAGCCTTTACAATGAACATCTTTTTTGTTTTTCTTTTTAGAGTTGGAGAAAGATAATAAAATTATCCTCTAATATTCTCTGGGTTTCTTTATTAAATCTATGATGAGAATTAAATGCAACAACTTTGTTTTAATAAACTCTGTTTTTTTCGTTTCTTTGTTTTGTGTGTGTTTGATTGTTAACCTAACATAGATATCTCATTTGCATTTCTGTTAAAATCTACAATAAATTTTATTTCTTCTTTAAATATTTTTTTCTCTGTTATTATAACAAATAAAAAAATTGCTTCTCTTCCACAAAAAAAAAATATATCTTAAATAAGGAAAACTTATTACAATACGGAGACACACTTCGGAAGTTGATCTCACAACACATCTACTATTTAATCGGTAGCATCAGACTTCGATACAGAGAAGGGTTCAGCAACTGGCAATGAACCACTCTTGGCAATGACGACATCCTTAACGGGACGATCACGACCATCGGTGGCGGTGTTTTCAATCTTGCGTACAACACTCATGCCCGACAACACTTTGCCAAAGACAACATGACGACCATCCAACCAGGAAGTTTGTTTGGTGGTAATGAAGAACTGCGAGCCATTGGTATCTTTGCCAGCATTGGCCATGGACAACCAACCAGCACCATAATGCTTTAGCTTGAAGTTTTCATCTTCGAAACGTTCACCATAGATGGAACGGCCACCGGTACCATCACCGCGGGTGAAATCACCACCTTGGATCATGAAATCTTTGATGACACGATGGAATTTGCTGCCAGCATAGCTAAAAAAGAGAGAGAATAAAAAATTTGGAATTAGATTATTTGTTGCTACTTTGTTGTTATTTGTATCAATTAATTGTTGATTGAAATACAAAAGAGGTGGTGAGGATTCGTTGCAATTTGTCTAAATTGAATTAAATGTGTTGTTTGGACACATTGTAGAGAAATGTGATTTATGATTTCTAACAAGGAAATAAGTCACAACACTCAAAGTGGAAGAAAAGATAGGGAAAAATATATTGCCATAGAACGTTAGGCTAAAAGGTAAGCTAATAAATGATCTGAAAGACCCTGATATCTTCTCATAAAAACCAATAGGTATTTTCAATAAAATAACAGGTATTTTAAGGAAGACCTGGAAATGTCCTCGAAAAAGCATAATGACCTTTATATTTTTCAAAGACAACTACAGAACATTTTTTTGGCGTTCCAAAGTGGTGGATTTTTTAAAGAAAATTTCAAGGCCTACTAAATATATGACATTTTTAAAAAAGATTATTTTTTCAGGGTCTACCAAAGGCGTAGATTTTTAAAGAATATTTTTTACGGCCTACCAAAGTTGTGGTTTTTTTAAATAATATATTTGTTAAGTCCTGCCAAAGGCTTGGATTTCTAAAGAATATTTTTTTTCAAATCCTACGAAAGGCGTGGATTTTTAAAGAATATTTTTTACGGCCTACCAAAGTTGTGGATTTTTTAAATAATATATTTGTTAAGACCTGCCAAAGGCGTGGTTTTTAAATAATATTTTTCAGGCCTATACAAGGCTAGGATGTTTAAAAGAATATTTTTTCCAGGCCTAACCAAGGCTTGGATTTTTTAAGGAATATTTTTTCAGGGCCTACGAAAGGCGTCGATTTTTAAATAATATTTTTCCAGGCCTATACAAGGCTAGGATGTTTTAAAGAATATTTTTTCCAGGCCTAACCAAGGCTTGGATTTTTTAAAGAATATTTTTTCAAGTCAAGGGCCAATAGAATCTTGGTTTCTATAAAGAAAGGATTTTTTAAACATACTTTTGAAAGGGTCGGATTAAAACATATTTTTTAAAGGTTGTAACAGGAACCAAACTTTGGGATAGCACCCTTATAGTTTATAGTGCCAAACGTTTTTTCTGAATATTTTTCATGTCAATAAACATAATTTCAACTTTCTCCCTCGGTCGTATTTTTGTCCTATCTACACCATTCGTTTTTTTCTAAATTTAGGTCGATTTAAAGTCTATTTTAATTATCAAACTTAAAACTATTTAATTTTCTACAATTTATCTTGATAGACAGCCAAAAAGTTCATTAGCATAAAACATAATAATAGAAGCGGTATATTCAAATAATTTGCGAAATTTTGAAAAACAGGTTTTCATTAGCCCCAATCGAAAAAAATAGAAAAGATGAAGATACATGAATAAAAGATAACAATTTCGGCATTGTTTTAAAGCGTTCTGTTTGTTTTCATTAAGAAAAGATACATTTTAGAAACGCTAGTCTACAGCATACGAAACATTCATTCGTTTTGAAGAATGTATTGGTCGGTCCTCAGTTAACCTAATAGGAACTTTCCAATGCAAGATGCCTGAAATAACTAGAAATAAGAATTCTTCAATTTTCAGTTATATTCCATAGCTCTAGTTTTTGTTTCATATTTCTTGTCTTCATTAAATTTTTGGCCACATGGGTTAGTACAATTCATTCACACACATTTTATACATGTGTAGTAGAGGTTTGTATATGGACACAATTTGCAGCCACCTTGCCACCACTGACACTTCTGCCATTCAAATACAAAATAAACAAAAATTGTCAAATTTTAAAAATATATAATGGCCGTCGTCGGACCTTAACATTCTAATATAAACAACCATAAACTTGCACATGAATACTACAAGGGTTTTTTTCTTGCATTTTAATAAAGAAATTGAAAACTATTTTAAATGCAACAAATAATGTTGATAGTATATATCATCTTCTTGAAATAGGCTATTGGGTACCACTGATTGTGGTTTTTGGTTGTTGCAGCCGCATATAGCTCTCGTATATTAACGATAAGAGATGTTGTGTGTGACCTAATTTTTAGTGCTATTGACAATTTCATTAAAGAAGTGCCACATCTGTATGTATATTAGTTTGTATATAGTAGTATTCAAATGTACATGCGTGTTGTTGTTCATCACTTTCATTACATTATATGCTATGTTTTGGGTTTTTGTTGATAAGGATTTATGTTTTTCTGGGTATTGAAAATTATATTTTTCTAAGATGTAGACAAAATCTAGGAATTAAATTATTTTTCGTGGCAGATAAGATATTTGAACACGAGGTTATGACACTGCTAGGCATTAAAAAAATATTTTTAATAACACAATATCTAAGGAATACCTAAACCAATTCTTCGAAAATAATATAGAAACATGCTTGCATTTTTGACAGTCTTCAAAACGTTTTTTTTATCACAAGAACAAGAAATTCATTATTTGAAAAAGAGATCAAGTCATTTTTATTAATGCTTCTAATGTATTTTTTATACCCTTCACATAACACTGTGGTACAGGATATTATGTCTTTGTGCATATGTTTCCTTTTGAGAATATGCATAGAATCACTTTCTGAGTCGATTTATGCATGTCCGTCCATGTATTTTTGTGAACAAAGGTCGCATTTATAATCCTATTTGGATGAATTTTGGCACATGTCACTTAATTGGCCCAAGGACGAACCCTATTGAAATTGGAGAAAATCGGTTCAGATTTAGATATAGCTCACAACTCCCTATATTTGTCCGATTGATACAAATATAGGAAGGGTGCTCATTGAAGAGTTTTAAATCCCCAACTGAGGGTCCCCCACCCACAAAAACTATTATATTCAAATATATAAAATATATATAGGAGAACGTTTATATAAGGGTCAGACAGGACCGACCATATGATACGCTCAATATTCCAAGTCTGGATAATATTTTGCTTACCGCAAAAGCTACTCTGCGGCATATTTTCCGAATCTTTATTTCTGGAAGTAATAATTTGCCCATATTATTGACATTTTGTTATTTTACACATTTAATTTCAAGACAGTCATTCAAATTAGTTTGTCAGATCGCCTTTCCATGCATATTTTGTGATGTTCAGTATATAAATAAAGTATTCGGTCCATATCATTCGAAAATATCATCTGATCATCATCGAAAATTATAGGCTACGTTGTTGACCATAAACGGAACGATAAGGACCACACTTGTTCCTTGGTCTGATACATATCTCCTTGTAAAATTTCGTCATGTTCGGGTTATATTATTGTTACCTCTAGAGCTGTTAGAAAAACAGACCATTTCATTCCCAAAATTTTTAACAATAATTACCAAACAACATAGTTGTGTAGGGTATAATAGTTACATTTTTGTAATCAAGACTTTAACATAGATATTGGCAAGGATCCAACAGAACTGCTTTCGAACAGAATATTGTGAATTTTTTAATGTCACATCAAATGTGTAATTATCTCAAAAAAATGTTTAAGGACCACATAGAAGTGTAGATTTCTCAAACATAGTCGTTAAGTCTTATCAGAAGAGATAATTTATTAAAAACATATTTTGTAAAGTACCTCCGGAAGCGGTTATTATTTTTTTTACAAATTTTTTAAGGTCCCACGAAAGCGAGGATTTATTTAAAAAGGTGGGAACAAGTCAAGTTTAGGGGCTCTACTAGGATAATTTTTAGTCCTCTTTGAGTTAATTACAGTGATATACATGTTATGTGGGGGAAATGTATACTTCCCGAAATATGGGCCATGAAAGTTCGGAGAGTATTTTGTTTTAATCAGCTGTTTTACTATTTCCAGCATGGTAATATGTGGAGCGTGGAGCGCCTAAATTTGATTTCCTAAGCCAAAAGGCCTTTAAGTGTTTTTTCCCAAAAGAGCTTCATATGTGGGACATTTAAAACAATCCAGGTTTTTAATTTTGTAAACGTAATTTCATGCTTTTGTTTATAAAAGGACCACTTTCAGACGGTCTATAAAGACTAAAATGCATTGAAGAAATGGGGGGTCTCGACGGAGCAATGGTGGGGGGGGGGGGGGGGATCATAACTTAGGATGAATGGATTTCCGCAAGAGAAAAGTATATCCGTCACCGATCCCTATACTGGTTTAATTTTTGAAGGTCCACCGAAAACGAGGGATTATTAAAAAAAAAAACGTTTTGAAGCAAGCATCAAGCAAGTATTTCGGTTCATTATTCACCTTTTGTAAATATATATTTTGCAATTTTTATTGATATTGAATTATTCTCAGGCGTATATCATTGGCCGTTAAGGCTTCATTATTATTGAAAGAATAAATAAAAATAATATTTTTAAAATATGTTTTAATATTCCATCGGATGTGTAGATCTTTTAAAAAATTCAGCGCTTCACTCGAGGTTCACTTTAGTCTATAAAGGGATCATCTTCAGCTGGTCTATAAAGCCTAAAAGACATTGGAAATACAAATGTCTCAACGGAACTATGCATGTTCAAACCTCACGAAAATGTATTTATTTTATTTAAGAAAAAATATATTTGATAACATAACCGATTCCGGGCCCTACAATTCAAAACCTTAAAAAATTACATTTAATCAATTAATAACAAATTTTATATCACTGCCAAGCGGTTCTAATGTTTCTTTTCTTCTGATAACCAACCCATCCATACACAAAACACTCCATCCAACAACAGTCAATGGACTCATCATGATTTGTCTTGCTATAACATTACCCGCCACTGTACTACTTTGCTGTTGTTGTTATTATCTTCACAATCTAGAATCAGAATCTTGCAGTGCATGCCAGGCCAGGCAAGCAACGACAAAAGAAACAACTACAACAACAGCAGCAGCAAACACAAAAGCTTGAGACTTAATTAAACCTAACCTAAAAAAACAGCAACACAAACAGACGAACACACACACAAGTCAGCAATTTTGTTTTTGCCATAATTAATATGTCAACCATCATCGTCTACTTTCTTTACTACTTCTATTCTTTTGATGATGACTTTTGTGATTTCACCCTTTTGTTTCATTCCTAAAGTCGCATAAAAGAAAGAAAAACTTCATTATTGCCAAAAGGACAATCAACTTACCCTTCGCCAGCGGGTTTGTCGGCCAATTGTTTGAAGTTCTCAACGGTTTTGGGTACGGTTTTGCCAAACAAGCCAATTTCAATGCGGCCGGCCGGTTCGTTGCCAATGGTTATGTCAAAGTAAACCTATGCAGAGAAGGCAGGGCAGGCATCAGCAAGTCCATAATCGTCATCATCAGCACAAACAATGGAACGAAAAACATATATACATACACACAATTTTGTTGTTATTAGAACATTTGCCAAAATAATAATTTATAATATGCAAAATAAAAATTATGAAGAGAACACAGAAATTGGCAAAGGGAAGAAGAAGAAGAAGCACAAGAACGTAGCTGCAGAAACATCACTTTTTAATAGTTTATTAATTTTTCAATTTCTTCTTTCAACTTCTTTGTTCCCCTAAGCACAAGAACCCCATTTTGATTTTTGCTCTGAGCTTACCTTTTCGGTTACTTTGGGTCCTTTGCTATCATCAGCATTAACAATGGTGGTAGCCACGGCGGCCACCAGGCACAAACACAAAAACAATTTCATTGTTGTTGTTACTGTTGGTTTTGTTCAGGTTCTTGTTTTCAATACGGTTTTGTACGTCCGGCGCGCAATAACTTTTCAAGTCCAGTATCAACTAACGAATGTTTTGTTTGCTTCCAAAAGGAAAACCTTAGCCTCTAGTGATGACTGGGCATGTAGATGACGACGGCGACGTCGTTGTTTTAACAGAGCAGCGTTTTCCCCCCATTTATCTGTCATTCGTACAGATAACAGTCTTCGCGTGCTGTTATGGTTTTCCTTCCCTTATTCCACAATGAGTTAGAACAGTTCGGCTAGCTATGAACTGGTGGGTATTCCATTGTGTTGGGACACGTAATTGTTATAAAAATCACAACAAGAAAAATGTGATTATTTTATTCTACCTCTCTCTTTTCTTGTGTCTCACAGAGAAAGAAATAGCAAGAGAGTGTTGACAGTGTTGGCAGAGATGGGAAGTTAGAGGTGTAGGTAATCAAATGTAATCAGTTGATTTTAAATTAATTGTTTAAATAAATTGTTCAAAATATGGAAAAAGAGGACAAAACTGTTGAAGGTCCTAGCACATCCAGGAAGCTCTTGGCTGAAACGTCTAAGCACTCAGTACCCCCCAAGGGACAACTGAGTACTGAGACGCCTAAGACACCAGCATCCACGAAGACGGACTGTCGAAGTCAGCCCGACGGAGAGTCCGTAAAAAGGCCTCCAAGAAGACTGATAAGGCACAACCTCCCTCTGGAAATGTCGAAACTGATATCCAAGGTTGTGACAATTGGGCAGTTGTTGATGGATGCTCCAAAGGTAACGAGCGCGAAGCAGGTGCCTGCGTCGGCTGGGCCTATCTCTGCGGCAATTGTGACCCCGGGAACCGAATCTATCACAGCTGTGAAGAGAATGAGGTCCTCGGACGAGCAACAACCTGCTGCCAAGAGACCCACGCAGTCGTCAGTTGCAAAACGTTCGGCTTCGTTCGCATCGGTAGTGTCGATGGAGAAACCTGCTAAGAGCGGTGAGGGTATGGTGAAAGTCAAACCCGCTGTCTCGAAACATATAGCCCAGAAACCTACAACGGCGCCTAGCGACTCTGCTGCTCCATAAGATGAACTGGATGATCTGCGAGTAGCAATCATGGGTCGAGCTGAATCTGACGGGATTATCAGTGAAGATAAATAGTTACCAGTCGACAGTTATTTGAATGACATCTTCCTATCCGACGAAGTTAATCAACGGAACCTACGGTTTGGCCAGATCACCTTATTCCTTAAGAAATCCGGTACAATTTAAACGTACTATTAGTAAATTCAATTTAAAAATTATGGGGAAAAACAAGTGTCTCAGGAACTTGGACTAAACTACTAAACCCACCCGAGTTCAACTGTCAATTCAATAGCGTATACGTCATCTTAATCCAGTGTATTATTTTTGACGTGGAATTGACATTTGAGATCGAGTGGATTTCGTAAATCTAAACGCACTTTTAATCCATATCTCAGGATATATGAATATCCACAAGATAAAATTATCTATAATTAGGGCCTCCAGAAAGACGTATGGTTAAAATATCAAATATATCCGTTTTCTATATATATATACAGTGAGTGTAATAAGTATTTTGCCTCGATACAAATTTGACAAAATTCTAATATATACGCCTAAAACCAGCACTGCGAAAGACCTATTGGTCTTGAAGTTATCGGCCAAAATCTATACCAACCCAAAAATGATTATCACAAAAAAGTATTTTGCTTTTTATTATTATTTTTGAAAAAAATCATTATATAACACACACTTTGTCTTTTTATAGTTACCATTGCGGGTAACCACATACTAAAAGCGATTTGGCGACGATTCCAATAAACCACGGCATTTTTTCGCGAATATTTGCCCACATTTACGTTCAATACATTCTCCAACAATTTTTCATTTAATATTTGTTAATTTCACGTCCTAATCTCAAAATGAGAGTATTAGATATAGTCGTCGCGGCTTCAAAACATCCCAAATAACTTTAGAATAATAAAAAGGAGGTTTTGCAAAATATATCGCGAGGACATGACCCTAAAAACTATTGAAACCAAAATCCGACAAACAAATTATTAATAAAAAACTATCGCGGAACCCCATTTTTCAGACTTTGAAAACTTTATGGTCCATTAATATTGATCTAGGAACCAATATATGCAATGAAAATAGCAATAAGGAGGTCAGATTCTAAGATATATAGAATTTATATATATATATATATTAGAATTTTGTCAAATTTGTATCGAGGCAAAATACTTATTACACTCACTGTATATATATATATATATATATATATATTTTCTAAATTTTTTTTCAAGGCCCCAACAAAAGTGTAAAATAATTTAGTATGGTCCTAATGGGTCGATTTTTTAAGAATAGTGTTCAAAATCACAGAAGTGCGAATTTTTGAAAAATAAATTTTAAGATCCACCACTTTCAGCTGGTCTATAGACTCCCAACAGATCGTCTCTAAAAAACCTTCCTCAGCTCCATTCATCTCTCATCTGTAAAGACTCCCCTCGTCTATAAAAACAGGCTTCCTACATCTCGTCTATAGAGACTCCCTTCAACTCAGCTCGTCTTTAAAGAGCACCTTCAGCTCGTCTATAAAAACATATTGTCTATAACATATTGCCTATACATATTGTCTATAAAGACTCCCTTCATCTCGTCTATAAAGACTACCTTCAACTCAGCTCGGCTTTAAAGACCACCTTCAGCTCGTCTATAAAAACAGATCTCCTACATATTGTCTATAAAGACTCGTCTACAAAGATTCCCTTTATACCGTCCATAGAGACTCCCTTCAGCTCATCTAAAAAACCAATTCAGTTCGCCTGTAATGACTCCCTTCAGCTGGTCTATAAAGACCCCCTTAAGCTCGTCTATAAAGACTCCCCTCAGTACGTCTATAGAAACTCCCTTCAGCTCTTCTATAAATACTCCCCTCATCTCGTCAAAAAAAAAAAAAATAAAATAAAAAAAAACTCCCATTCAGCTCGCCTGTAATGACTCCCTTCAGCTCGTCCATAAAGACTCCCCTCAACTCGTCTATAAAGACTCCCTTCAGCTCGTCCATAAAGATTCTCCTCAGCTCGTTCATAAAGACTCTGCTCAGCTTGTCTATAAAGACTCCTTCTTCAGTTCGTCTAAATAAAGACCACATTCATCCGATCTATAAAGTCTTCATTCATCATTGATCATATTAAAAATCCATTCCTCTTTTAAATATTTTTTGTATGCTATTTTTATTTAAATTATTTCATATAATGTTTCCAGTTTTATTTTATTTTTGTTGTTGTTAACATAAAATACCACATATGTATGTATAATATTTGTAGCATAAATTATTGGGTTTTTTGTTTTGTTTTTTTTTCTAAATTAAAAAAAAAATAAATAAAATATGTAAATTTATGCATTCAGTTACACTTAAAAATAGTACGTAATAAATAAAAAAACATTCCACTAAGCCTAGTTTATAGTTATCCTGTGTGTGTATATATAATAATTATAATTAATAAATATAAAATAAAAATATCTTAAATACTACTAAAATACAATATATATCTATATATGTAGATGAATTAAACATATAATAATATTAATAATGAGAGTATGTATATTTTTACTAATTATGCGATATATAAAAAACAGCTAAAAGAGAACGAAAAACAAAAAACAAATAATTTACAATTTCTTTGTACAATTAGAGGGGTGGTAAGCTGATGATGAGGAGGGGAGAGGATTTTTTTGTCTACAAAAAAAATAGAGGATTTAATGGAATATTTAAAGAAGTAACATGTAATGAAATAAAGGAGAGATCTTAATAGCAAAGAAATTCAGGAGAGGGAATAAATAAAAATAACCTTTCAACTAAATGCGTGCAAGAATGTTTTGAACTTCATATTTTTCTTCTTCTACTTCTTCTTTTAGAAATGAGCAAATGTTTGGAGGCATTTGAGTGTGTGTGTGTGTGGGGAGAGGTTTGCAATCAAATTGAAGAATTTTGTGTATTGTTTTTATTTTTTATTGAAAATAAGTGAAAAAGGCGGGCGCGGGGTATAAATCGACATCGTGAACTTAGTAAAATGATCAGTCATTGCTTCCAATAAGCGATTCTTGTTGTTCTTCATCATTTATTCTGTAGGAAGAAATAAAATATATTTAGTAGTGGAAAATAAAAACTTAGAATTGAGAGTAATCTTCACTTACCTAACAATATTTGGTTTTTTACAACTGCAACATTTTCTATAGATAACCTTAAATAGACGCATCAGCGGATCCGATTCATCATTACGCATCAAGAGTGCCACCAATATTAATGCAAAAAATATTGGCAAAGAGCCAATATAGAATAGCGGTGAGTAGGGTTTTCTTTTGAGGAAGACATCAAATAATATTGATAGGGGAATTTGCAGGGACATGGCTATTGTCCCGATTAGGGAGGAGGTTAAAAAACAGCCCCTGGAAGAAAATGAAAATAATATAATATTAATAATAGTTTTTCAATAGAGAAAGAAAAATTTAAATTGTTGTAAAGAAAGACTCTACCTTCAACTCGTCTATAAAGACTCCCTTCAGCTCGTCTATAAAGACTCCCTTCAGCTCGTCTATAAAGACTCCCTTCAGCTCGTCTATAAAGACTCCCTTCAGCTCGTCTATAAAGACTCCCTTCAGCTCGTCTACAAAGACTCCCTTCAGCTCGTCTATAAAGACTCCCTTCAGCTCGTCTATAAAGACTCCCTTCAGCTCGTCTACAAAGACTCCCTTCAGCTCGTCTATAAAGACTCCCTTCAGCTCGTCTACAAAGATTCCCTTCAGCTCGTCTATAAAGACTCCCTTCAGCTCATCTACAAAGACTCCCTTCAACTCATCTACAAAGACTCCCTTCAGCTCATCTACAAAGACTCCCTTCAGCTCCTCTACGAAGACTCCCTTCAGCTCCTCTATACAGACTCACTTCAGCTCGTCTACAAAGACTCCCTACAGCTCGTCTATAAAGATTCCCTTCAGCTCGTCCATAAAGACTCCCTTCAGCTCGTCTATAAAGACTCCCTTCAGCTCGTCTATAAAGACTCCCTTCAGCTCGTTTATAAAGAATCCCTTCAGCTCGTTTATAAAGACTCCCTTCAACTCGTTTATAAAGACTCTCTTCAGCTCGTTTATAAAGAATCCCTTCAGCTCGTCTATAAAGACTCTATATTTCTCTATATATTTTTCAAAAAATCTATGCTTTGCTATAGCTTCAAAAGTTAAATATTCTATAATTCTTTCTTTCAAAAATTTCCACTAAAACTTACCACAGCCACAAGGCCTCAGAGACCACTGTACCAATTAGGCCATTTAAAAATAAAATGGCAAATTGATTTTGATTTGGTAATTCGAATTTTTCGATTTTTGTAAAATTCAATATGAAAAATACTGGCCACATCAACAAAAGATTCCAAAGGCCCACAAATCCTGTATTCAAATGAAATACAAAAAATTAATAATGAGAATAATTCACAAATCTTCCCAAAGGCGGCTTACCAAAAAATAATGGAATATCGATTTTCTCCTCTGTGTCACTTTTTCTTTTGACAAACACCAAATAGGCAGCATAGAAGAATGCACTAAACAAGGCCAACAAAGCACCACGGGAAAAATTCGTATCATGGATATCGGAAATTGTTATTGTGACCTGAAATGAAGAACAAAAACACTTTAATTGAAAGGAAAAAATAAACAAATTTCTTAAAACTTACCACCCCAGCAATATTCAAACCCACTGCAATAATTTTTGTTATGGTAAATTTATCACCCGTTGCTGAGGGGAAAAATGCTGCCAACACCAAGGTGAATAGGGACGAGGAGGATGATAATAAAGTCACCACTGCTGTTTCAGTCATTTCCAATGAGACTTGAAAGAGATAATTGGCCAAGAACCACTGAAAAACGAAACCAAAAATTTAATATCAATTTTCAAAATCGAAAAATCTATTGAGTATTATTTACCAAAACACAAAACAGCAATGCCGTTTTGGCTGTTTTATGATGCGACTTTTGACGACTTATACGCATACTGGCCGTATAAGAGAGTCTGGCCATTAGGGCCTCTGTTGCCTCATGTGCTGACATTTCCCGCACTTCGGCCAATTTACTAAAACGCACTGACCGTATACTGGAATCATCACTTTCCGTACCGGAAATAGGACCATTACCGATACTAGCTGCCGAGCGAATGGGAACGAATGTGGGATCACTCTGAGGATAATAAGAAATTTTAATACATTTTTTTTAATAACGAAATTTTATTGAAATTTTATTTATTATCTTACCAATGATGGTTGGTGGGAGTAGTAATTATCATCTTCGGAATTTTGATCCATCATCTGGAAAGGGGAAAAATAGGAAATATTATAATAATATCGAATATTTTCAAAAATCCATTGCTTCTTATATATATATTCAAATTTATTTGAATATTTGAATTGGCTTCAACTTGGCTATAAACCCAACCTTAAAGCAGACCTTTAGCGTCTATAAAGCCGACCTTTATAAGGCTTGCCTATAAACCCGACCTTCAGCTCGCCTAAAAAGCCGACCATCAGCTCGCCTATAAAGACCCGATCTTCAGCTCGCCTCCAAACCCCGACCTTCAGCTCGCATATAAAGCCCCGATCTATAGCTCACATTTAAAGGCCCGACGTTCAGCTCTATAAAAATTCGTTTCAACTTGTCTATATGACCACCTTCAGTTGACCTATAAAAACCATTTTCTGCCGGCATATAAATCCATCCTTATGTCTGCTATAAAACTTCCTTTTGCTCTTAAAAAAAACGATATATAAAAATTATCTTACTGAATAGTTGCCATTTTGTCTATCGCAGGATTCCTTCCAGGGTGCTAGCAAACCAATGATTACTAAATAAATTGTAAACATCGATGTTTTAAAATATGTGCAAAAGAAGGGCTTATCAAAGTGTTCATCGTCGTAGAGAAACTGAAAAAAACGAAAAAAAACAAACAATTTATTCAAATTCAAAATTAAAGTACTCAATTCGAAATTACCTTTGTCAATTCGCTGGAGGTTACCCATATCACATCGACCATTATGAGTATGGTAACACCCAATATTAATTTTTGTGTTCGGGTTAGCATTTTGTTGGTGTTGTGGTTGTTGTCGGTATTTTAACTCCTTGTTTGGACAAAAAGAAAATACGCAATTTTGTGAATAATGTTCTGCCCGCCGTTTTTGTGGGGTCTTCTTTCGTTTACTTGATATTTTTGTTTAAACAATATTTCTGGTTGGTAGAAGACGGCCTGGTATGGACTTCATGTTTTTTGTTTGGTTGATCTCCTTGGTGTCTGTTGTTGTTGCCCCTTTCAATATTTGTCTTCCATTGGAATTGACTGCACAAAAATTGTTGGCCTTTGGTTGGGGGGTCACAAATATTTACAACAACACCACCCCGTTCGTTTAACGCAAATGACGTCTTTAATATGCCGCCTTCTATTTGATTAAGTTGTTCGATGAGGGTTGGGGGCGGGGGTGGCAGAGAGCACTTTATGAAATTTTATCACTTTGCAAAGGCACACCAACCAACAGCAACAACGACAAAACAATTTCTTGACTAATAATCGTCGCAGCAACAATGGGCAATTGTCATTTGATAAGAAGAATAGAATAGAATGGAATAGTATGCCAATTTGTTGTCCGCCCTTCCGCCACAGCTCCTCCTTTAATAATGACAGCAGCACCAGCAGCAGCAATTAATATGCCATATGAATTCTAAATGAGAAATTGAAAGGAGGAAAAAAGGAAACATTAGCATCTTTATTGTGTAGTAAAGGGTCAGTATGTACGAGCGTTTAATTCACATGTCCACAATGTCCTTCCATAATGTAGTTAATTTATTGATTTTGATTGTCGGGTAAAAAAAATTACCAGCGATGACATTGAAATACAAAAAATGCATAAATTTAAATATTTGCAACAAACGAAGCAACAGAACATTTTTACGATCCGAGGCGACCCAAGTCTTACGGCCAACGTCTGTCACCTCAGCCCATTGTGTAAAAGCAATAGGACTGCTACAACAACAACAGAACATTTTTAAATCTTACGAGAAGAAGAAGGGAGTCTTTATAGACGAGCTGAAGGGAGTCCCTATAGACGAGCTGAAGGGAGTCTCTATAGACGAGCTGAAGGGAGTCTCTATAGACGAGCTGAAGGGAGTCTCTATAGACGAGCTGAAGGGAGTCTCTATAGACGAGCTGAAGGGAGTCTCTATAGACGAGCTGAAGGGAGTCTCTATAGACGAGCTGAAGGGAGTCTTTATAGACGAGCTGAACGGGAGTCTTTATAGACGAGCTGAACGGGAGTCTTTATAGACGAGCTGAACGGGAGTCTTTATAGACGAGCTGAACGGGAGTCTTTATAGACGAGCTGAACGGGAGTCTTTATAGACGAGCTGAACGGGAGTCTTTATAGACGAGCTGAACGGGAGTCTTTATAGACGAGCTGAACGGGAGTCTTTATAGACGAGCTGAACGGGAGTCTTTATAGACGAGCTGAACGGGAGTCTTTATAGACGAGCTGAACGGGAGTCTTTATAGACGAGCTGAACGGGAGTCTTTATAGACGAGCTGAACGGGAGTCTTTATAGACGAGCTGAACGGGAGTCTTTATAGACGAGCTGAACGGGAGTCTTTATAGACGAGCTGAACGGGAGTCTTTATAAACGAGCTGAACGGGAGTCTTTATAGACGAGCTGAACGGGAGTCTTTATAGACGAGCTGAACGGGAGTCTTTATAGACGAGCTGAACGGGAGTCTTTATAGACGAGCTGAACGGGAGTCTTTATAGACGAGCTGAACGGGAGTCTTTATAGACGAGCTGAACGGGAGTCTTTATAGACGAGCTGAACGGGAGTCTTTATAGACGAGCTGAACGGGAGTCTTTATAGACGAGCTGAACGGGAGTCTTTATAGACGAGCTGAACGGGAGTCTTTATAGACGAGCTGAACGGGAGTCTTTATAGACGAGCTGAACGGGAGTCTTTATAGACGAGCTGAACGGGAGTCTTTATAGACGAGCTGAACGGGAGTCTTTATAGACGAGCTGAACGGGAGTCTTTATAGACGAGCTGAACGGGAGTCTTTATAGACGAGCTGAACGGGAGTCTTTATAGACGAGCTGAACGGGAGTCTTTATAGACGAGCTGAACGGGAGTCTTTATAGACGAGCTGAACGGGAGTCTTTATAGACGAGCTGAACGGGAGTCTTTATAGACGAGCTGAACGGGAGTCTTTATAGACGAGCTGAACGGGAGTCTTTATAGACGAGCTGAACGGGAGTCTTTATAGACGAGCTGAACGGGAGTCTTTATAGACGAGCTGAACGGGAGTCTTTATAGACGAGCTGAACGGGAGTCTTTATAGACGAGCTGAACGGGAGTCTTTATAGACGAGCTGAACGGGAGTCTTTATAGACGAGCTGAACGGGAGTCTTTATAGACGAGCTGAAGGGAGTCTTTATAGACGATCTGGAGGGAGTCTTTATAGACGAGCTGAAGGAAATTTCTTTTTCTTTTTTAAATCCACGACCTTGAGAATATATTATATAGAATCCACGGCTTTGGTAGGCCATGAAAAAATATTCTTTAAAAATCCTCGCCTTTGGTAGGCTAAGATTTGGTAAGTCTTATTGAAATATATGTATATGGAATTCCTCATATATCTTCTTGTTGCCTCGTATAATTTCTACAATTAGAAAAATAATTTGTTAATAAATTACTTATGAAAACAAAAATTTTGATATAAATATTAAAACCATTTACACTAAAAGTCAGCGAAATGAATTAAGCCAATAAAAGTTCAACGATTATCATCAAACCCCTCATCATTATTACTGGTCATTGAATCCTCCATCTAAGCAGACACTATTCTACATAGCAATAACAACAACGACACTAGAAAATTGTTATCATTAATTGAATTGAAATGTTCGAGCCTCTTTCGATTAAATTGCGTTAAAAACAATCAATATTTAATAAGACCTATAAACTGATAATAGTGATAGGGTGGTCTCCTCGACAATGGTGGGAGAAAAAATTCCGCTGCTATCTTCGATGTTTACACGTGACGAAAGGAAAATTTTAAAACTTTCATTAAACTATCGAAAATAAATCGTGCAAGAGGAGTTAGTGAGTAATATAAAATGAAAATTGTATAAAAAATATAGAAAACAACAATTCACTATTTTCCAAGTTATTATCAATTAAGGAAAATAAATACATTAATATTCTATATGTATAAGTTACCGAAATAAACATTCGTCGCTGAGAAATGCTTGGTTAGCATTTTCTCACAATAAATGACTAAGTGCATCGTCGACACATTTTGAAAAAGCACCACCATGAAATGAAAGACAAAACTAAGACTCGGCAGTCTTCCATCGAAACTCAAACTTAAAACAAGCAGCACCAACAAGTGAAGGAACTTGAGCAGCAACAACAACAATAACAACAACATTCAACAATCAACAATCAACGTTATTATAATAATTATAATTTTAATAACTAAACTTAAGAAACAACAACACTTAATATTATTCTGATAATTGTAGTGAAACAGTTAATAATTAATAATTAAATAAAGATAATCAAGAAATTAAAACAAATAACTGGCGCCCAACGATCAATAGAATCCATGTAAGTAGAGTAATCATTCTTCAAGAGAAAAAAACGTAAAAAAAGTGACCGAATTATGAACGCGGAACAAATTAAACAAATTGTGGATGCTGCTGTAAGTGCAGCACTCCAAGGGCAGCGTGCCATTATAGATTCAGAAAATAAAGCGTTAAAAGATCAAATTAGTGAACTGACGAGGAAAATATGTGTTATGCAAACTCCGTCGTCATTCGTAGAGACGTACGAAGAAATTAAAATCACCAGCTCGATTGGTACGGATAACCTCGATGCTGTAAAATCTCTTCCAGAGTTTAATGGAACAAGGGAAAAGTACGTATCATGGCGGGCCGCAGCAAAAGCTGCACATAAGATTCATGAAAATACCGTGGGGACGGCAAGGTATTATCAGGCTGTTCTGATAATAAGAAATAAAATTGTTGGCAATGCTAATGACGTCTTAGCATCATTCAACACAGTTTTAAATTTTAAAGCAATAATTGCACGCCTTGATTTTACTTACGCTGATAAAAGACCCATCTATTTAATCGAACAGGAACTGTCCACATTAAGACAGGGGGAATTGTCAATTTCAGAATTTTATAGTGAAGTAGAAAAAAGAGTGGCTATGTTAGTGAATAATACTACAATGACATATGGGGACAATACGCAACTGACTATTAACCTTAATACAAAATACAGACAAGATGGTCTGCGCATTTTTATTTCAGGATTAAAAAAACCACTTTGTGACATTCTGTTTTCGTCTCGTCCTGAGGACATGGCCACAGCATTGGCCCTCGCACAAGAAGTTGAGGCAAATCATCAACGATATGTCTTTGCAAATAGCTTCGCTAAGAGAAATGAGATGAAGGATAGCAAGAGTCAACCGTATAGACTTTCTTCGAAAACTCAAGGTACGGTGAATAATCAGCAAAAATCAGAACCCATGGATATAGATCCATCTTCATCAAAATTTAGATACAGCCAACGTTCAAACTCTCAAGCTCCTTATGTGACACCGAAACCTGATAGTTCTAACAAGGTGTTATATGGAGGCGACGAGTCAAGAAACATTAATAATTTACCACCAAAAGCTGAAAAACGTTATCTAGATTCTGGAAGATTTTCTAATGGCAATGTTCAAAAATGTCAGAGATTGAACCATATTGAAGAAACTCGTTGCAATAATGAAACTTGCGATAGAAATAATGAAGTATTCGCAGATGAGAATAGGCAACTAGACGAGGACACTTATGAGGTGTTGGCATGTGAGGCTGACGAAGACATCGAAGAGCTTAATTTTTTAGGCAAGGGTCCCTGCTTCCTTGGATCCCAAGGGTGATTGCAGGCAAAACAAGAAAATTTTTAATAGATACTGGCACCTCCAAAAACTACATTAAGCCATTCAACGGACTCCAGGGAGTGACATCAGTTAATCGACCATTTTTGGTAAAATCAATTCATAATACAAACAGAATTAAGGAGAAGGTCCGAACAAACATATTTGGAATATTTACTGATTTTTTTGT